CCCTTTTGACCTCAATATGAACCAATTTGATAACGGGGTCCACAAATAAAAAATCTAAATACATGGTTAGATTCAGCATATCAAAGAACCCCATATATTCAATTTTTGTTGAAATCAAACAAAGTTTAATTTTGGACCCCAATTTGGACCAACTTGAAAACTGGGCCAAAAATCAAAAATCTAAATACATGTTTAGATTCAGCATATCAAAGAACCTCGTATATTCAATTTTTGCTAAAATCAAACAAAGTTTAATTTTGGACCCTTTGGACCTTAATGTAGACCAATTTGAAAACTGGACCCAAAATTAAAAATCTAAATACACTGTTAGATTCGGCATAACAAATAAATAAATGTGATCAAAGATTTTACAAATCTAATGCGCCATACTGTGCAATTAAAGATTACTTCTTGAAATTTTTCAATATTTGAAATTTGAAAAAAAAATAATATTTGAAGAATAATTCTTTTTCATTTCAGAAATCTGAAATGAGAAAAAATTGACCCCCCACAATTTCTTTTTACCCCCCAAAAAATTCTTACCCTCAAGATATGGTCATAATCTCAATTCAAATTTCCAATGGAGTTGGCAACCATAATTACCCATTTAAATTTACCATAGTGCTAACTTAATCTATTTTATAATAGAATTAAAAATGTAGTGTCAAATCTTTCATATGGATTTTTTAGTAAAAAAAAAAGATGCAACATTTGCAGATATTTTTACTGGTCTTCCTTTATAAATATGCATTTCTTTAAACATAATTTAAAAGCAGTGTAAGGGAAGTAACCAAAACGTTGTATTTGGATTACCTCCCTTACACTGTTTTAAATTATCTTTATTGTTCATTAACCATTACTTTATACATAATTTAAAAGCAGTGTAAGGGAGATAATTTCAATGATGTATTTGATTTATCTCCCTTACACTGCTTTAAATTATGTTTTGTACTAAAGTATTTGTCCATTAACCAGGACATGGATCCATTCACTTAAACTAAAGTTAGAGTGCGAAAACCAATGTGTCTTCGGACGACGCAGGACGACGACGACGACAACGCCAACGTCATACCAATATACGACCAAAAAAATTTCAATTTTTGCGGTCGTATAAAAATGCTTATTTTTTGCCCCTTTTTGGCCCCTTATTCCTCAACATTTTGGGCAATTACCCCCAAACTCAATTCCAGCTTTCCCTTTGTGATATGGAACCTTGTAGTACAATTTCAGAAAGATCCATACACTTACACACAAGTTATTGTCATGAAACTAGAAAAATGCTTGTTTTTTGCCCCTTTTTGGGCCCCTAATTCCTAATATTTTGAGGCAATTACCCCCAAAATCAATCCCAGCATTCCCTTTGTGATATGGAACCTTTTGGTACAATGTCAGAGAGATCCATACACTAACACACAAGTTATGTCTGGAAGTTACAAAAATGCTTATTTTTGGCCCCTAATTCCTTAACAGTTGGTACCATAACCCCCAAAATCAATCCCAACCTTCCTTTTGTGGTATTGAACCTTATAGTAAAATTTCATAGAGATCCGTTCACTTAAACTAAAGTTAGAGTGCGAAAACCAATGTGTCTTCGGACGACGCCGGATGACGATGACGCCAACGCCAACGTCATACCAATATACGACCGCAAAAAATTTTTGCGGTCGTATAAAAAAAGAAGTATTTCAACAATTAATACTATAGAATATTTAAATGAAATTATATTGTGTTCTACAAGAAAGAAATATGTGAAAAAAATGTGGATCGGATTTTTACAATCTACACATTTTCACAAAGGATCTCTACCAACGCCCAACAGGAACTGAATGACATGCATCCTGTTTTCATCTACCATTTATGTATATTGTTGACCATGAACATATAAATAATGTCCAGGTTTATGTCCTGTGTTGACTGAGAAACGTAAAATTAAAAGGCTGGTGTTCGTTTATTCAGAAAATGATTATATTTTAGATTCCGGTTAATCAATTGTAAAAGGACCTTCTAGAGCCTCAATCTTAAGGCATACAAATGTCAATCATTCCAAAGCAAATTTAAACTCCGAATGAATTTTCCCACGGTCATCCAGAAAGGTCACCTGAGTTTACTGTTACGTGATAATATTTCCCGCCAAATAAAAATCTGGTGGAAAAAATTGATGTCACTATTTTTAGCATTCAATATTGTGAGCAAAGTCAAGTTCAAAGTTCAACCACGGACTGTTGATCACTGAGATGTGTATCGTCTTCCCACGGCAATTAATTTCTTTTAAAAAATTTAATAAAATGCTCCGCTGGGGCGCAGCTTGATACAACGGCAGAGGTCAAACCCTGAACAGTTGGGGCAAGTATGGACACATCATTCAAGCTTGATACAGCACTGAATTTGGATTGTAAATATTTGACACAGCATAGGTTTCTGACACAGAATGAAAGTGGTCTAAGAACTTAAAATTTTTTAATTTACCTATTCAAACCATATCATTATTATTTGCTTTTATATATAAATCAGAAATAACCAATTTAAAATGGAAAATTTTAAAGAAAAAAAAGGAAAAAAAATCCCCCCCAAATTTTTTGAACCCCCTTATGATTCATCACCCCCAAACTCAATCCCAGCCTTCCCTTTGTGGTATGGTACCTTGCAGTACAATTTCAGAGAGATCCATACACTTGAACACAAGTTATTGTCTGGAAACTAGAAAAATGCTTGTTTTTTTGCCCCTTTTTGGCCCCAAATTCCTAAACATTTAAGGCAATTACCCCCAAACTCAAACCCAGCTTTCCCTTTGTGATATTGAACCTTGCAGTACAATTTCATAAAGATCCATACACTTACACACAAGTTATTGTCCTGAAACTAGAAAAATGCTTGTTTTTTTGCCCTTTTATGGCCCCTAATTCCTAAAATTTTGAGGGAATTACCCCCAAAATCAATCCCAGCCTTCCCTTTGTGGTATGGTACCTTGAAGTACAATTTCAGAGAGATCCATACACCTGAACACAAGTTATTGTCTGGAAACTAGAAAAATGCATATTTTTGGCCCCTTTTTGGCCCCTTTTTTGGCCCCTAATTCCTAAACTTTTTGGGCAATTACCCCAAAACTCAATTCCAGCTTTCCCTTTGTGATATGGAACCTTGTAGTACAATTTCATAAAGATCCGTACACTTACACACAAGTAATTGTCTGGAAACTAGAAAAATGCTTGTTTTTTGCCCCTTTTTGGCCCCTAATTCCTAAAATTTGGAGGCAATTACCCCAAAATTATCAATCCCAGAATTCCCTTTGTGATATGGAACCTTGTGATACAATGTCAGAGAGATCCATACACTTACACACAAGTTATTGTCATGAAACTAGAAAAATGCTTGTTTTTTGCCCCTTTTTGGCCCCTTATTCCTCAAATTTGGAGGCAATTACCCCCAAAATCAATCCCAGCATTCCCTTTGTGATATGGAACCTTGTGGTACAATGTCAGAGAGATCCATACACTTACACACAAGTTATGTCTGGAAGTTACAAAAATACTTTTATAAATTTTGACTTGGATGGAGAGTTGTCTCATTGGCACTCATACCACATCTTCTTATATCTAATTATTTTTGACCCCTTATTCCTTAACTGTTGGTACCATAACCCCCAAAATCAATCCCCACCTTCCTTTTGTATTATTGAACCTTATGGTAAAATTTCATAGAGATCCATTCACTTAAACTAAAGTTAGAGTGCGAAAACTAATGTGTCTTCGGATGACGAAGACGGCAAAGACGATGAGGCCAACGTCATACCAATATACGACCACAAAATTTTTTTTGTGGTCGTATAAAAATTTCTGTCCTTTATACAACACACAAGTTTACATTCATTGTGCGTAAATGAATATTATGCAACGACGAGTTGATACAGCTATAGAAGTATTCCTGTTGTAGCCTAAATGTAATTATTTATCCTAAAGTAATGCCAACAAATTGTAAAGAGAAAATGCCGTAGACTTATTAAGCATAACGAATGGTGAATAGTATTTTCTTTTTTACTTGCATATACAAATTTTGAGACACGTAATTTTCTTTGAACTGCTCACTTTTATATTCAGCGTTAGTTTCCGTTTATTTTTACGCAAGTATGTCTCTTTTCGTAAATAAAATAATTTACCGATGAACTTAAACAAGGTCAAAATCAAGTATAGTTTTTGTTATAAAACTTTAATGCAATTGAAAGAATTAACAACAACATTCTGCTTTTAAATCTTTAATTTGTTTCAAGCAATTATGTAATCGTAAAACGAAAATGGCGTGGACTTATTAGCATAACGAATAGTGAATAATATTTTCTTTTTTACTTGTATACAAAACTTTGAGACATGTAATTTTCCTTTAAACCGCCCACATTTATTCAGCGTAAGTCTCCGTTTTTTTTTTACACAAGTATATCTCTTTTGTAAATTAAATTATAATTTACTGACCAGAAAAAAAACGAGGTAAAAATCAAATATAGTTTTTTTTTAAATAAAACTATTTTTAAATGTACAGTGTAATTGAAAGAATTAACAACAACGTTTTGCTTTTAAATCTTTTATTTGTTTCAAGCAATCAGAAATATAACCTGATTATCAATAGACAGGAAATACAATTGTTTAATTACATAAGTAATCTCACATACCTTGACTGTCACGTGCCGGTATAGATCAGAAGGATTAGGGCAATTAATTACCTGGTGTGACACTGCGTCACACCGGACTGGGAGAGATGTCGCTAATACAATAAACAAAAGGTAGCGAATTTACGTGGAAGTCGGAGGGAATACTCCCAAATTTCTCTGAGAATTTAGGGAGGGATGTCGGAGTTTCCTGGTGTCACACCAAGAAAAAACTTGGTGTTCGGAGCTTGGGAAGCCTTTCGCGAAATTTGTACTGTATAGTTAAATTTTAAGTGGGCAACTATCTACGGTACATTGAGAAAGGTCTATCTATTTCTGACTGTATAATTAAGATTATGCTTACTTGGAATGGCAGGCTCTGTACATCCAACTTTTTACCAGGATTTTTAAGCTTGAATTTAAATATAATATCAGTGTCTTTGGTGGCATTTCCAACCTCTTTAACAACTCTACTACTGCCCTGAAACAACAACAAAAAAATAGAAAACTTTTGGTACAGCTAAGAAATGTAAATTGCACATGCTCTATTCAATAAAAATCAATTTAAAACTCCTGAATAGTAACTTCTTTAAAGTAACAGCCATTGCTGGGAAATAAAATTTGACTTGTTTTATAAACCTTCCCAATGCCAGGCACACAATTAACTATGCCTAGACCTAAGGTCAATTCATAAGCCAGTTTACATCATCTATAATTTCACTGTTTTTTACTTATTTTCAAGTGGGGTATAAAAACATACAATATAATTTCCATGTGATCAACATGTCACAGTAATCGTCATTAGATACTATCTAGACCAAAGCCTGGAAAGCCAAAAGCACAAATCACGAACTGCAACAGTGTTGAAATAAAACATATTACATCAAAAATATACAATATTTGCTGCCCTTAGTTTGAAAAAAAAAAAGCAAAAATAATTTAATAGGTTGATATCATCTTTTATTCTCTTAATCAATTATATTCATTTATTTGTTTTGGCAGAGCTCAGCTGTAATACCTTAGGATAACGAGTATCATCAATTTCTAACTCTTGATGAAGCTGAAGTGCAATAGAAACAGCTGTAGCTACAACATAATTTTGTGAGATCAAACGTAACTGTCTGATCATTTCCAGTGGATTCAGGACATTAATAGTTCCACCAGAGATCTCAGCACATTTTGATACTTTCTGTAACTCCACAGGCTCTCCTTGTACTGCTAACAATGATATCACAATACCATTTTCTCTAGCGTAGTTTCCAACCTATAATACCAATACAAAATATTTCATTGAAAAGGAAAATTTATTTAAACAGTAATAAATTGCTTCGCCGAGCGCAGCTGGATACGACTGCAAAGGTCCAACCCTGAACAGTTGGGGCAAAAATGGACACAATATTCGCACTTGATACAGGTCTGAATTTGGATTGTAATTCAATATTTGACACATAATAGGTTTCTGACACAGATTAACTGTAGTCAAAGAACTTAGAATTTTTAAAATTATTAAAATAGTAACTTCTAATAAAATGCTTCGCTGGGGCGCAGCTTGATACGACCGCAGAGGTCGAACCCTGAACAGTTGGGGCAAGTATGGACAGAACATTCAAGCTTGATACAGCTCTGAATTTGGATTGTTATTAAATATTTGACACAGCATAGGTTTCTGACACAGAAAGAATGTGGTCTAAGAACTTGAATTTTTTTAATTTACCTATTATGGTCCAATGTCCAAAATCAAAATACATGGTTAGATTCAGCATATCAAAGAACCCCATATATTCAATTTTTGTTAAAATCAAACAAAGTTTAATTTTGGACCCCAACTTGGACAAACTTGAAAACTGGGCCCATAATCAAAAATCTAAACACATGTTTAGATTCAGCATATCAAAGAACCCCAAGAATTCAATTTTTGCTAAAATCAAACTAAGTTTAATTTTGGACCCTTTGGACCTTAATGTAGACCAATTTAAAAAACGGGACTTAAAATTAAAAATCTAAATACACGGTTAGATTTGGAATATCAAAGAACCCCAATAATTCAATTTTTGATGAAATCAAACAAAGTTTAATTTTGGACCCTTTTGACCTCAATGTGAACCAATTTGATAGCGGGGCCCACAAATAAAAAATCTAAATTCATGGTTAGATTCAGCATATCAAAGAACCCCATATATTCAATTTTTGTTGAAATCAAAAAAAGTTTAATTTTGGACCCCAACTTGGACCAACTTGAAAACTGGGCCCATAATCAAAAATCTAAATACATGTTTAGATTCAGCAAATCAAAGAACCCCAAGAATTCAATTTTTGTCAAAATCAAACTAAGTTTAATTTTGGACCCTTTGGACCTCAATGTAGACCAATTTTAAAAACAGGACCCAAAATTAAAAACCTAAATACACGGTTAGATTTGGAATATCAAAGAACCCCAATAATTCAATTTTAGATGAAATCAAACAAAGTTTAATTTTGGACCCTTTTGACCTCAATATGAACCAATTAGATAACGGGGTCCACAAATAAAAAATCTAAATACATGGTTAGATTCAGCATATCAAAGAACCCCATACATTCAATTTTTGTTGAAATCAAACAAAGTTTAATTTTGGACCCCAATTTGGACCAACTTGAAAACTGGGCCAAAAATCAAAAATCTAAATACATGTTTAGATTCAGCATATCAAAGAACCCCAAGAATTCAATTTTTGTTAAAATCAAAGAACCTCATATATTCAATTTTTGCTAAAATCAAACAAAGTTTAATTTTGGACCCTTTGGACATTAATGTAGACCAATTTGAAAACTGGACCCAAAATTAAAAATCTAAATACACTGTTAGATTCGGCATTACAAATAAATAAATGTGATCAAAGATTTTACAAATCTAATGCGCCATACTGTGCAATTGAAGATTACTTCTTGAAATTTTTCAATATTTGAAATTTGAAAAAAAAATAATATTTGAAGAATAATTCTTTTTAATTTCTGAAATCTGAAATGAGAAAAAATTGGCCCCCCACAATTTCTTTTTATCCCCCCCCCCTTTTTCCCCCAAAAAAATTCTTTCCCTCAAGATATGGTCATAATCTCAATTCAAATTTCCAATGGAGTTGGCAACCATAATTACCCATTTAAATTTACCATAGTGCTAACTTAATCTATTTTATAATAGAATTAATAAAAATATAGTGTCAAATCTTTCATATGGATTTTTTTGTAAAAAAAAAAGATGAAAACATTTGCAGATATTTTTACTGGTCTTCCTTTATAAATATGCATTTCTTTAAACATAATTTAAAAGCAGTGTAAGGGAAGTAACCAAAACGTTGAATTTGGATTACCTCCCTTACACTGTTTTAGATTATCTTTATTGTTCATTAACCATTACTTTATACATAATTTAAAAGCAGTGTAAGGGAGATAATTTCAATGATGTATTTGATTTATCTCCCTTACACTGCTTTAAATTATGTTTTGTACTAAAGTATTTGTCCATTAACCAGGACAACCTTGTTTTTCCCCCTTTTTTGCCCCTAATTCCTAAACGGTTTGAGCCATAACCCCCCAAAGCAAATCCTAACCATCCCTTTGTGGTATGGAAACTTGTAGTATAATTTCAGAGAGATCCATACACCGTTCCACAGTTATTGTCTGGAAACTAGAAAATGCTCATTTTTGGCCCCTTTTTGGCCCCTAATTCCTTAACTGTTGGTACCATAACCCCCAAAATCAATCCCAACCTTCCTTTTGTGGTATTTAACCTTATGGTCAAATTTCAAAAAGATCCATTCACTTAAACTAAAGTTAGAGTGCGAAAACCAATATGTATTCGGACGACGACGCCGGACGACGACGCCGGACGACGACGACGACGACGCCAACGTCATACCAATATACGACCACAAAATTTTTTTGCGGTCGTATAAAAAAGAATTGACAGCTAATCATCTCAAGACAATACAAAAATTCTTTATACATAATTTAAAAGCAGTGTAAGGGAGGTAATTCAAAGTAGTTTTTGAATCACCTCCCTTACACTGTAATTTGTACTTAAGTAATTGTCCATTAACCAGGACACCCTTGTTTTTTCTCACTTTTTTGCCCCTAATTCCTAAACGGTTTGAGCCATAACCCACGAAAGCCAATCCTAACCATCCCTTTGTGGTAAGGAAACTTGTGATATAATTTCAGAGAGATCCATACACTGTTCCACAAGTTATTGTCATGAAACTAGAAAAATTATTTGGGCCTCTTTTTGGCCCCTAATTCCTAAACTGTTGGGACCATAACCCCCAAAATCAATCCGAACCTTCCTTTTGTGGTTATAAACCTTATGTTTAAATTTCATAGAGATCCATTCACTTAAACTAAAGTTATTGTGCGAAAACCAATGTGTCTTCGGATGACAAAGACGTCACCAATGTCATACCAATATACAACCGCAAAAAATAAAAATATCTTCATATCATCATAAATATATAACGTACAAAAGATATTACCAATTTACCATCCTCCCTATTTTCTTATCTTTTCTTAAAGTTTTAGACAACCATCTACCAATTGTCTCAATGAAATGATGGATTTTATAGTTTTTTTTATTATTCAGCATTGTGGAATTAACATATGAATAAGTCACATAAGCTCTCATAAAAAAATGAATTTCCTCAACTATGAAACCTCCCCTTGGTTAGTTTACTGGCAATGCTTTATATTTTTAATTGCTTTGTTCTAACTTTTTCAGAAGAATTTTTTATTTATCATAGACAGCCTACTAACCTTTTTATAAAACTGTTCCTTTGATTCTGAACTATCAGTTCCTCCTCCAACACCTTGATTGGGAGCTCCATCCGTACACAGGACAATTTCTGATCCAGTTGTTCCCTTTGCAATACCCATTGCAATAGACAAAGCAGGCCCAAGGGCAGTACAACCTTCAGTACACATGGAGTCAACTTTAGCTGTCAAAGTACTGAAAATATCATATTAGTTTTACTATTTTTTTGGCAACATTGATTAGTAAACAACATAAATACAAGTTACATATTACTTTTGGATTGAGGAAAATTTGTGCTTTTTGTGGATATCAGATTTCGTGGTTTTGCCAAGGGGTGCATACAAACCTATAGAAAATGTGTACTTCATTGAACATATAAATTTGTGGTTAACCTTTACCTATGAAATCCATGAAAATTGATATTCCATGAATAATAATGAATCCACAGTAGATAATATAAGTTATGTCTGAAGGGTGTACAGGGTACTGAAGGGTGTTAAAATATTCATATCTACGGATATGAACGTAGATAACGAATTTATCCCCGGTCTTAGTCCAAATCTTGCAATTTTTGGAGAAATTCAACCACAAAATGTAACGTGAAAGCAACGTTTTTTTCAATTTTTAAAAATCTTTTATTGAAATTTGGGAATTTGACACATTTTTAACGGGGTGTAGGGTACTTGCTTTGGTAGAACCCTACAGGTAGTCAAATATAAGACGTTTTTAATCCAGAGACAGAGAAACGGGAATGGGTCGAATTTGGCTCTCAATGTTGTGAGAGTTACATCATAGACGGTGTGACGTCAACGTGGGTCATTTGCATAGCTTGGTCAGTAGTCTCATTCATTGACAATGTGGCAGCCAAGTGATGCATTTACTAAAATGAGTGCAAATGATCGACATAATAAGATAAAATCGTTGGTTGATTAAATATTTAATTACAGACATCATGGATAATCTACAGAATTAGATATTTCACAAGGAACAACCATGGAACTAATGAAAACGCGTGTGATGTTCCCCGTTGTAATGGGTAGCAACGTCCGGGTATATGGGTTAGCAACACCCAGGGGCTATGGGTTTTATAACGTCGTGCGTTAACCAATCAAAATCCTAGAAATATACTAAGCTGGGGATAAGATACTGTTGAAGTTCAAGCTATTTCTAAGTAATACATACCTGCAGGATTCTGAAATGGGAGGTACTGTCATATCCATAGCAAACTTCTTTCCTTCATCTAACAGTGAGTTATAATTACTGAAGTTGCATTTACATTTATGCTGGGTTCCATCATGTCGAAAGATATCAACATCTGATGAAAACTTGATTAGCTGAACTTTCCTATCAGGTTGATCTATTTCAAGTCTTTCAAGTTGTCTGGAAAAAGACAAATTTATCAGCATCAGTATAAGGTTGATAGTAATAATTCTTAAAGAACTGTTCCTGTCATGATCTTTTAACATAATAATGTTGTTGGTTTTTTTTGTCAGATGATTTTGCTTTAAATGTCCATTTACAAACAACACAGTCCTCAGTTATGGATAAATTCAACAAAAAAGATCTGCCATCCAAATAACAAAAAACATTAGGTATTAAGGTATGGTTCACTCGACTTTCACAAGTCAAAAATACTGTAAATTCAGAAATTATTGGGATGTTTTTATTATTGCGAAAAATGCAACAGGGGTATAATCGCAATAATTTAAACTCGCATTTTGAAATTTTTTATATGAATTAAAAAGGATTTTTCTCAATATCTCAAAAATTAAAATCGCATTTTAGCCTAAAATGACAAAATCGCAATAATAAATGCACCCAATAATTTCTGAATTTACAGTAATGAAACTATAGATTGTGGCAAAAGTGTAAAAAATTGACCCATGTACATCAAAAATGTTAGAAATAGCCAAACTAAGTTGCTGCAAAATCTGCTGTAAAAGACTAAATTAAAAAGAAAATATCTGCAAAATAAGTTGGATTAAATATCTATTAAATTTCCCTAGATATTTATTTAAAAACATTCCCAATATGTTTCTTTTATGTTTGCAGTTTCATTTTGAATACATTTTGAAGAAGCACTAAGCGGTTACAAATTATATAATGAAATTAAATAACATGCTTAAATCGGTTGCATTTCAAAATGTACTTTATATCTCAATATGTTTCATTAAGATTTAAATTTTACTACTTATAAGGATACCTGTTCAATGCTTGTTTAATGGCTGCCAATCTGGTGATGTATTCTGCTCCATATGCTGTTCTATCACGCTGACTTCGCCATTCAGCTGTTAACAAAACATTCTAACTTATATAATAACATAAATTCCAGTGTCCCTCATGTTGCACATAGTTTATCTGTCCAAGGGCAATCAATAATTAAAAAGAAAATTTTTTGGTTCTTTGAAACTCTTATAAATATGTTAGAGAAATGAAGGCTTGAGAGCACTTACAATGCATTTTTCAATATAATTAATATTTCCAAGGGGCACAACTCATATCTAATTGGCACTGATTTTCAAAATTGTCCAAGACATTGCTGATATAAATCTTTTAATATAAATTTCATAACTATCTGGTAAGAATTGTACACATGAGAGCATTTACAATTCAACTTTCTATAGAATTTACTTTAAGAAGGGACAATGCTTCTGGGGAAAATAGAAGAACAGAGTTCCAATGTCCCCCACGTAGTACATATTTTATCTATCCAACGGGAATAACTAAAAAAAATGTTTTTTTGTTCTCAAAAACAAAATATCTTAGAGAAATGAGGGTTTCAGAGCAAATGCAATGCAAGTTCCATTCTAATTAATTTTTCCAAGGGGCATAACTCTTTAAAAATATTTGATCAGCACTTATGTTCGAAATTGTCAAAGACATTGATGATATAAACCTATGATATAAGTTTCTTAAAATTCTGGCAAGAATTGTACACATGCGCTAACAATGCAATTTTCCATATAATCAATATTTCCAAGGGACATAACTCTTTTAAAAATAATCGATCTGCACTGATTTCAGGTCATATCTAAGACATTGCTGACATAAACCTATGAATTAAGTTTCGAACGATGCAATTTTCCATATTATCAATATTTCCAAGAGGCATAACTCTTTTGAAAATAATTGATCGGCACTGATTTTCGATTATGTCTAAGACATTGCTGATATAAACCTATGATACAAGTTTCGTAAAAATCTGGCAGAAATTGTAGACATGAGAGTGCTAATGATGCAATTTTCCATATAATCAATATTTCCAAGGGGGCATAACTCTCTTAAAAATAAAATGCCTCGCTGAGCACAGCCTGATACGACAGCAGAGGTCAAACCCTGAACAGTTGGGGCAAATTTGGACACAATATTCAAGCTTGATACTGTCTGAATTTGGATTGTGATCACATTTTTGACATAATATAGGTTTCTGACACAAATAAATGTGGTCAAAGATCTTACAAATCTATTGCGCAATACTGTGCAATTGAAGGTTTCTTCTTTCTTCTTGAAACTTTTCAAAAATTTGAAATTTGAAAAATTTTGAAAAAAAATATGAACCCCTTAAAAAAATTATTCCTCCATGTTTGGGGCAATTACCCCCAAACTCAATCCCAGACATCCCTTTGTAATATGGAACCTTGTGGTACAATGTCAGAGTGATCCATACACTCACACACAAGTTATTGTCTGGAAACTACAAAAATGCTTGTTTTTGGCCCCTTTTGGCCCTTAATTCCTAAACTGTTGGCACCATAACTCCCAAAATGAATCCCAACCTTCTACTTGTGGTATTAAACATTGTGGTACAATTTCAGAGCAATCAAAATACAAATACACAAGTTATTATCCTGAAACTAGTAAAATGCTTCTTTTGGGCCCCTAATTCCTAAACAGTTGAGACCATCATCCCCAAAATCAATCCCAACCTTCCTTTTGTGGTATTGAACCTTCTTTAAAAATTTCATAGAGAATAATTCACTTAAACTAAAGTTATTGTCCGGAAACCAAATGTGTCTTCGGATGACGACGCAGACGACGACATCATACCATTATACGATCCCAAAAAGATTTTCGAACTCGTTCAAGACATTGGTGATATAAACCTATGATATAAGTTTCATAAACACCTGGAAAGAATTGTACATGTGAGAGCGCTAACAAGACCGGACATACGGACACACAAACGGATGGACGGATGCCTGGTGTTTCTATGTCCCCTGCGACGCTTTGCGCTGGGGACAATTACTGGTAACCAAGTTGAAAATACATTTTATCCAAAGAAAAAGCTAAAGTTTGAAAGAAAAAGCTTTAGTGTCTGTTTTCATGGTACTTTATTGTAAATGATATATTTTTTGTAAATTTTTGTTTAATGTTACATTGTATTGGGTTGCTGTCTCATTGATATACACATATACCCTACATCTTTTATTTGTAAAAATACAGAATATTTTTCAGTGATTTACCATTTATTTTCATGAAATACATTACTCTTATTTGATTTTTTTTTTTTTTTTATAGATTTATACATTATAGAGCTGAAACTCACACGTAACTCTGGACATCTCTGTACTCTGGTCCATTGAACCACTCACATCCATACAGTATATCTGGTATCCTTTACTAGGTCCTTTTGGTTTAGCATCTGCTACTTCACCAGTGGCCTCCTCCTCTTCAACTTTATCCGGAACAAATAGTACATAATCATATGTCTCTTTGGTTGGTATTTCCTCTTTTGCTAGGCCCATAATGATATTTTCTTTTCCACAAAACTCACTACAGGTACAAAAAATTGTGAACTTGATCCCTCATTTTTTAAAGGTTAGGGTTAGGGCCAGACTCCATGATATCAAAATTTATTTTTCAAATGTAACAAAAACTTATTTGGTCTATTATATGAGAAAGGAGTGATATTTTGAATGCAAAAAATTCAAGTTTTTTTTTTTTATCAGCAGAGGTGAATTATATAAATATGCAAAAAGTGTACATGCATTATAATAAGCAGTTACAATGTCCAAAATATTTTATATGCAGTGTTCATGTTAAGTTTACATACCTGTAGTTTTACAATGTATGTGATTACAGCATCACAAAGCTTTTGCTTATTGCACATACAATTTGTATCTATCTAGCATTAAAGAAACATATACAGTAATATCCACAGTAATTTTTGCTATTATCTTTGTATCTGTAACAGTAAACTGATAATTGCAGTTGAAATGAATATGAGTACTGGTGTACTGGGCCTTTGGTCATAAAACTTTACTCAGTACTTGGAGTACAAAATTTGTGCTCCAAACACCAAATCCAATAATTTGATTGGTTGATTTCTGAGTCTTGAGTACGATAATCATCGATAGTTTTATGACTGCAAAGCCTGAAGTAAGTCCTATAACATACAATACTAACCAAATCCATTTAGTATTGTCTTCTTCTTGTGTGAGTTTAGACACACAAGACAACACAGCTTGACATTTTTCACATGTCACAGGATCACCTGTAGCTATGTCCGACTCATCTTCCAGATCTTTCATTGACAGCAACAATACATTTGTATCAGCTTTCTTCACTTTCATTTTGGACTTTGTTTTAGGACCCCTATATACAGGGACATCTCCTGTACTTGCTGGCCTTTGTCTTCTAACCGGAGCTGATGCTGCTCTGTCTCCTCGTCTAAATGATCCACTCAATGTACGCCACAAAGAGGACAGCATTCCTCTATTTTGGTCTTTCCTAGAAGACACACCAGCAGCTTGTGGTGGTTCTGGTTTTGATTTACTTTTCTGCACTTTCTTCTTTCCTTTTACAGTTATCATTTTTCTGTATGAATCCTCAATAGTTGGATCATAGTCTGCCAAAAAATATCCTGATGTGAACTGTATTGTCAGACAGGATTTCCCAACACCTCCACTACCATTGATAACTACCTATCAACATCAAATAATTATTTTACTTTATATAATGTTCATACACTTTAAACTGTGAACTAAAATTAGAATAAAATGCTTCGCTGAGTGCAGCCTGATATGACCGCAGAGGTCATAACCCTGAACAGTTGGGGCAAGTTTGGACACAATATTCAAGCTTGATACTGTCTGAATTTGGATTGTGATCAAATTTTTGACATAATATAGGTTTCTGACACAAAATAAATGTGGTCAAAGGTCTTAAAAATTTGAAATGGGACATTTAATTTACCTAGAATGGTCTGATATCCAAAATCTAACAACATGGTTAGATTCAGTATATAAAAAAACACCAAAAATTTATATTTAGTTGAAATCAAACAAAGTTTAATTTTGAACACTTCAAACCTTAATATGAACTAATTTGAAAACGGGGCTTAAAATAAAAAATTTAAATGCACAATAAGATTCAGCATATCATACAGCCGCAATAATTCAGCAAAGTTTAATTTTGGACCCTTTTGACCTCAATGTAGACCAATTTAAAAATGGGACCCAATATCCAAAATAGTAATACAAGGTTAGAACCCCCCAAAAATTAAAGAATTTAAATTAATCCCATTGAAATTGGTTAAAAGATTTGTATTTATTTTCAATTGAAGATTCTTGCTATTGTGCAATACTGTGTAATTGAAGATTGCTTGCTATTGCGCAATAGAAGATTTCTTGCTATTGAGCAATATCACAGCGCAATACTGTGCTATTGCCCAATACTGTGCTATTGTGCAATACTGTGCAATTGAAGATTTCTTGCTATTGCGCAATACTGTGCTATTGTGCAATACTGTGCTATTGAAGATTTCTTGATATCGCGCATTACTGAGCTGTTGTGCAATACTGAGTATTGTGCAATACTGTTCAATTGAAGATTTCTTACTATTGCTCAATACTGTTCCATTTGGGCAATACTGTGCTGTTGCGCAATACTGTGCTGTTGCGCAATACTGTGCTATTGTGCAATACTTTGCAATTGAAGGTTTCTTGCTATTGCGCAATACTGTGCAATTGAAGATTTCTTCTTGAAGCTTTTCAAAAATTTTGAAGAAAAAAATATAAACCCTCCCAAAAAATTGGAAAAAAAGTTCCCCCCAAACTTTTTTGACCCCCCCCCCCTTGGAGTAATTACCCCCAAACTCAATCCCAGCCTTCCATTTGTCATACCAATATACGACCGCAAAATTTTTTTGCGGTCGTATAAAAAGGAGGCAAATTTCATACTTTTGTCTACTGATCTGCAAAAAAAGATCCTGTTCTTTCTATGCAATGTGAAATCATCAAGCATGGTAGCCTTTTTTTAAGACCTCACAATAGAAAAATAAGAGGAAAGCAAGATGTTATTATTGAACTGAGATCATGGAAGTCCCATCTCCTTTTATAATGTTCTTTGATATAGCTGTTATGTGAAAGTGTGTTTATGCAGATATGTTTTGGTCTTAACCTGCCTTGGCACTAAGAGTTTTACTCTTTCTATTTGTAGTCAATTAAACTTCAATTAAAACTGAAGTTTGTATCATTAATCCAAACTTATTTGACTGGCAAGAAATTTTACCAAGTTTGTGTAAGTGTTAATTTGTGAATTAGGGCTATTCTATTAAAATGTATGTGGGAGGGTAGGAAGGGACTTTCAAAATATCCCTACAACCAAGAACCATTTTTTAGATAATTTTGCATAATGGTATTAGACGCATAATGAAAAAAGACCCATGACCCACATTCAATAACTAAACTTCCCTTCCTACCCTCCCACATACATTTTAATGGAATAGCCCTTAACACATCATGTAATTATCCATACTTTGTATGAAGATGCAGTTCCAGGGATTTCTTTCACTAATGTTTCAAAGGCTTTGGCTACATTGATAGCAGTTTTAGCTGACGTTTCAAGGAAGGGAATTCCTAGTCTGGCAGCCAAATCTGACCCTTCCTCTGTTGTGATTTTACGTTCACTTTCAAGATCACTCTTGTTTCCACACAGAATCTGAAATTAAAAAGCATTTAGTTTACTTATTCTGACATTTAATAGACACTTTATCCAATACACTGAAATGAAACAATTGTGAAGGGAAGACTGACAATTATATCTCTCATTTAAGTTTTACATAATAAAAATAAGAATTTCATTTTAAAATCTATGCTTTATGCTTCATTCATTCAGAAATAAAAACTGATATTTCTATCATTTTCTGTGAAACTTATTAAAATTTTACAGTTAGTATTTATGGAGCAGAAACTACTTGATATTTTACTGATTTAAACAGATCATTTTATTGTACTTGTTCTGTTTTTATATTTTAGCCTTTGATATTTTAATTTATTATGAATTCTTATTACTTCTCATATCTTTTTATATTTCTAATGAAGTATATCTAATATCATAGTAATAGGAATAATTATGGCAACGGATTTTCCTTTTTTTGGCCATGAATCAGGGACAGAGAGTCATTTGGGCAAAGAAGGTGCTTAATCCCTGGAGCCTTCCCTTACTTTTTTGGCACTAAAATGTTACCCTGGATTTCCAAAAGTCATCCTTGCTGTAAGTGATTTTTAGGTTTAATGCAATTGCAAATTTGATGTTAAGAAATTTAAAGCCTAAGAAAATTTTATTTGCTAAAAAAAAAAAGTAAAATTGTTGGTATAGCAGACAGATCTGACTTGTTTTCATAGGAACATCATTAACAGCAAACTAGCCATAACCATGCAGTTTTATATCTTTATGCACATCATCAGCTAGTGTTCTACAACTGTGTATAGTTACATTAATATCTCTACAGCTGTTTACGAGGAGTTATTCTTAGGGAGATTATTACCATATATTGCACTATTGAAGTAAATAAGTCAGTTCAATTATCTTCCCTTTAACATGCAGGACCAGATTTTATTTCTTTATGTACATCCTCCGGTAGAGTTCTTCAACTGTGTAGAATTTCATCAATATCTGTATACCCATGGAAAGGAGTTGCACTTATAAGTTATTATCACAAATTGAAATACTAAATTGTAATATATTTGATTATCTCCCCTTTAACCAGTAATTTGTGTAAATTTTCATCAATTTCTGTCCAGCTGTTAAGAGAAGTTGGGCTTACTACAGATTTTTACCACATATTGCACTATTGAAGTAAGTAAGTCTGTTCAAATATCTCCCTTTTACATGCAGGACTGGATTATATTCCCTTAAGTACATCCTTAGGTAGGGTTCTACAACCGTGTATAATTTCTTCAATATCTGTCTACCCATTTAGGAAGCAGTTATTACCACAAACTGAAATATTGAAGGGAATACATTTGATCTATTGAAATATTAAAGGTAGTAAAGGAGTAGAGCCAGTAACCCCTATTAACGCCCCTATAAAGGTGGAGTTCTTCAACTGTGTAGAATTTCATCAATATCTGTATACCCATGGAAAGGAGTTGCACTTATAAGTTATTATCACAAATTGAAATACTAAATTGTAATATATTTGATTATCTCCCCTTTAACCAGTAATTTGTGTAAATTTTCATCAATTTCTGTCCAGCTGTTAAGAGAAGTTGGGCTTACTACAGATTTTTACCACATATTGCACTATTGAAGTAAGTCTGTTCAAATATCTCCCTTTTACATGCAGGACTGGATTATATTCCCTTAAGTACATCCTTAGGTAGGGTTCTACAACCGTGTATAATTTCTTCAATATCTGTCTACCCATTTAGGAAGCAGTTATTACCACAAACTGAAATATTGAAGGGAATACATTTGATCTATTGAAATATTAAAGGTAGTAAAGGAGTAGAGCCAGTAACCCCTATTAACGCCCCTATAAAGGTGTATCTATTAAAAATATTATTTTAGTAGTAAATCTAATGTGTATGTATTTCTAAATGTATCATTTTTGAAAATATAACAAGAGTTAATAAAATGCTCCGCTGGGCGCAGCTTGATACGACCGCAGAGGTCGAACCCTGAACAGTTGGGGCAAGTATAGACACAACATTCAAGCTTGATACAGCACTGAATTTGGATTGTGATTAAATATTTGACACAGCATAGGTTTCTGACACAGAATGAATGTGGTCTAAGAATTTAAAATTTTTTAATTAACCTATTCAAACCATATCATTATTATTTGCTTTTATATATAAATCAGAAATAATCAATTAAAAACAGAAAATTTTAAAGAAAAAAAAAGGAAAAAAGGAAAAAAAAATCCCTCCCCCAAATTTTTTGAACCCCCTTATGATTCATCACCCCCAAACTCAATCCCAGCGTTTCCTTTCTGGTATGGTACCTTGCAGTACAATTTCAGCGAGATCCATACACTTGATCACAAGTTATTGTCTGGAAACTAGAAAAATGTGTTTTTAGGCCCCTTTTTGGCCCCAAATTCCTAAACGTTTAAGGCAATTACCCCCAAACTCAAACCCAGCTTTCCCTTTGTGATATGGAACCTTGTAGTACAATTTCATAAAGATCCATACACTAACACACAAGTTATTATCATGAAACTAGAAAAATGCTTGTTTTTTGCCCCTTTTTTGGCTCCTAATTCCTAAAATTTTGAGGCAATTACCCCCAAAATCAATCACAGCCTTCCCTTTGTGGTATGGAACCTTGTAGTACAATTTCAAAGAGATCCATACACTTGAACACAAGTTATTGTCTGGAAACTAGAAAAATACTTATTTTTGGCCCCTTTTTTGGCCCCTTATTCCTAAACATTTTGGGCAATTACCCCCAAACTCAATCCCATCCTTCCCTTTGTGATATGGAACCTTGTAGTACAATTTCAGAAAGATCCATACACTTACACACAAGTTATTATCATGAAACTAGAAAAATGCTTGTTTTTTGCCCCTTTTTGGCCCCTAATTCCTAAAATTTTGAGGCAATTACCCCCAAAATCAATCCAAGCATTCCCTTTGTGAAATGGAACCTTGTGGTACAATGTCAGAGAGATCCATACATTAACACACAAGTTATGTCTGGAAGTTACAAAAATGCTTATTTTTGGCCCCTTTTTGGCCCCTAATTCCTTAACCGTTGGTACCATAACCCCCAAAATCAATCCCAACCTTCCTTTTGTGGTATTGAACCTTATGGTAAAATTTCATAGAGATCCATTCACTTAAACTAAAGTTAGAGTGCAAAAACCAATGTGTCTTCGGACGACGACGACGACGACGACAACTGAAGTAAGTTAGTTTGATATCTCCCTTTTAACATGTTGGACAAGGATTATATTCCATTATGCACATCCTTAGGCAGTGTTTTACAACTGTGTAAAGTTATCCATCTAGTTGTTTAGGATGAGTTGCAATTACAAGGTGGATGGACAGATCATACAGACTTTCCTTAATATACTAATTCTTGGTTTCAACATGAACATGATGTAGTACTTAACTTTTGAACATCTCATAAATTTATATCAAAAGTAATAATGATAACATAAAAAAGTCCTGTTGTCTGAATTACATAGTATTATCATCAGTGATTTTTTTTGTCATTTCTATCCTACAACATGAGACACTAAATCTATGAACATGGTAATATTTTACAGTTTTTGGTATTGACTGTTGTTAGTAAAACTTACAGCTGGGACTGTTTTGGTATCTTTTATATTTAAAAGAAAATTATATATTGCTTCAGCTTCCTGGAATGACTGAACATCGTTGATACTGTATACAATCATAAACCCATCTCCAGTCCTTATATATTGATCCCTTATAGCAGAATATTCCTCTTGACCAGCTGTGTCCAGTATATCTAAAATACATTGCTGAAATCATAAAATAAAATAATTTTTTAGACTATTAATACATTTGCCAAATGTTCTTTCTATTGCAGCGTGTGATCATGGCTCACTGTTCAATAGTAGAGCTAGTTGGAAAACTAAGGCAGGTTAACAACAACTGAATGTAAAAATTATGCATTTAGGAACAGGGTCAATTGCTAAAGTCTGGCAGGAAATATTAACCCCATAGATATGATCACTCACCACTGTGTACTAGAAGAGCATATATCAGGAAGTCTATATGTTTTTCATTTTGTTTTCTTCATACTAAAATTATAGAACTGATCCAGATTTTCATCTAAATGGACAGATGTAATGATTCAATGTAATGTCTTTCTTGTTTTTAATCTAAATGATGGCATGATCTTTTGTAAAATGTGATTCTATGATGTGTTTTGGAATCAGTTTATCATCACCTGACTATGTTTCCTTTTTATGTTTTTATTACTGTATTAATATTTACAAAGCAGACAGGTACCTGTTCATCAGTATCTGCTTCAAGGTTTTGTTCATCAACCTCCTCAATAATATCCTCTATATCCTCTGCTACCTCCTCATCCTCCTGTTTACCAGTAAACACAAATTGTCCTCCAAATTTCATTTTAAAGTTATTTTGTATCTACCTGAAATATACAAATAAATAGATTATTTTACTTCATCACTGGTAGCGGTGGAATAAAATTTCATTCATCAGCTTTTCTCCCCCGTGTTGCACATATTTTATCTATCCAAGGTACATGGGCAATAACTAATAAAATGCTTTGCCGAGCAATATTCAAGCTTGATACTGTCTGAATTTGGATTGTGATCAAATTTTTGACATAAAATAGGTTTCTGACACAAAATAAATGTGGTCAAAGATCTTAAAAATTTGAAATGGGACATTTAATTTACCTAGTATGGTCTGATATCTAAATTCTAACAACATGGTTAGATTCAGCATATAAAAAAACACCAAAAATTTAATTTTAGTTGAAATCAAACAAAGTTCAATTTTGGACCCTTCAAACCTTAATATGGACTAATTTGAAAACAGGGCCCAAAATAAAAAATATATGTGCACAATAAGATTCAGCATATCATAGAGCTGCAATAATTCATCATCAGTTTTTGATGAAATCAAACAAAGATTAATTTTGGACCCTTTGGACCTCAATGTAGACCAATTTAAAAATGGGGCCCAATATCCAAAATAGTAATACAAGGTTAGAACCCCCAAAAATTAAAGACTTAATTAATCCTATTGAAATTGGTTAAAAGATTTGTATTTATTTTCAATTGAAGATTTCTTGCTATTGCACAATACTGTGCTGTTGCACAATACTTAGTTTATCTGCTATATATAATAATTTACACACACTGTTTGGTGTGTATCTCCTGCCATATCAGTATTTGTTGCTTTTATATATAAATCAGAAATAATCAATGTAAAATTGGAAATTTTTTGGGAAAAAAACCCCCAAAAATCCCCCTCAAATAATTTTTTTTTTGAAAAATCACGAAGATGAAAAGTATGAACCCCCAAAAAAATATTGAAAAAAAAATCCCCCCAAAAAAAATTTGAAAAAAAATTGTGAATTTCAAAAATTTTGAAGAAAAATATGAACTCCCAAAAAAAATTTGAAAAAAAAATCCTCCCCACCACAATTTATTTTAAAAATTTTTAAAGATTACTTTCATTTTGGGAAAAATGTACAATTTCAGAGAGTTCCATAAACTTCAACACAAGTTATTGTCTGGAAACTAGAAAAATGCTTGTTTCTGGTCCCTTTTTTGCCCCTTATTTCTAAACGTTTGGGGCAATTACCCCCAAACTCAATCCCAGCCTTCCCTTTGTGGTATGGAACCTTGTAGTACAATTTCAGAGAGATCCATACACTTGAACACAAGTTATTGTCTTGAAACTAGAAAAATGCTTGTTTTTGGCCCCTTTTTTGTCCCTAATTCCTGAATGTTTGGGGCAATTACCCCCAAACTCAATCCCATCCTTCCCTTTGTGGTATGAAACCTTGTAGTACAATTTCAGAGAGATCCATACACTTAAACACAACTTATTGTCTGGAAACTAGAAAAATGCTTGTTTTTGGCCCCTTTTTTGCCCCTAATTCCTGAACTGTTGGTACCATAACTCCCAAAATCAATCTCAACCTCCCTTTTGTGGTATTGAACCTTGTGGTATTGAACCTTGTGGTAAAATTTCATAGAGATCCATTCACTTAAACTTAAGTTATTGTCCAGAAACCAAATGTGTCTTCGGATGAAGACGACGCTGATGACAACAATGATGACATGATAGCATTATACTAAAGCAAATTTTTGCGGTCAAATAAAAAAATCTTAACACACAGTTAGATTTAGCCTAATTTTATTAAAGAACCCTAAGAATTCAAGCCTATTGAAAATGGACAAGAAATAAGCAATTTATACAACGTTTTAGAAAAATATTGTTTTTGGCTCCTATTTTCTGAACAGTTATAGTTAGGGCCATAACCCTAAAAATCAATCCCAACTTTCCTTTTTTTGGTATGGAACTTTGTGGCACAATTTCATAGAGATCCATAGACTTATACTCAAGTTATTGTCCTAAAACAAACAAGATTATGGTACGTAAGAAAAGGATATTTTGCAAATATTGCTGAAAGATTATGGTCAAGAATTTTAGGCAGGGATATTTTCTACCTTTCCCTAGTGGTAGTTGACGTCTCTATCTTATTGTTCTGGTTATTTTTTGCTGTCTTAAATTTCTCGTTATCTGTAATAGTTATCAAGATAATACCAATAAACAGCTGTGCCATGAGCACATGATATGCCCGTCGCATTTTCAAAGAATAAAATTCAATCACTTCTCAATGTCATATCAGAAATTTATGAAAATTGAAAGGGAGCTTTTGTCAATAGATTTAAACAATTCACCAAAGTTTCATGAGAACTGCTGAAAGCATTTTTGAGGTATTGTCCGAAAAACTGGAAAATACCCCCTTTTTTAATGAATAAAACACCATAACTCGGAAACGTAAAATCTAAAATTTATAAAATTGGAAAGGGAGCTTACATCAATAGATATAAACAATTCACCAAAGTTTCATGAGAACTGCTAAACGCATTTTGGAGTTATTGTCCGAAAACTGTAAACTGCCCCTTTTTTTAATGAATAAAACCCCATAACTCAGAAACATAAAATCTAAAATTTAAGAAAATGGAAAGAGATCTCATGTCAATAGTTATAAACAATTCACCAAAATTTTTTGCAAATTGCTGAAAGCATTTTGGAGTGATTGTCAGAAAACTGGAAAATCCCCCTTTTTTAATGAATAAAACCTCACAACTCGGAAACATAAAATCTGAAATTTATAAAAAACCAAAGGGAGCTCACGTCAATAGATATAAACAATTCACCAAAGTTTTGTGCAAATTGGTTAAAGCGTTTTTGAGTTAATGTCCGACATGTCGACGACGGACGGACAGACAGACGGACGGACAGACAACGGTATACCATAATATGTCCCGTAAACGGGCATATAAAAACTATGAAATTTGCAAACTAAATTGACATTTCAGGGATAATAACTCCAAAATAGATGATTTGATTTTTCTGATAGTCCTGCAGGAGATAGACCTTAGCTGGCCAATCGCCAACTGTCAGATATTTTGTAACTGCTTTAGTTTTTGAGATATAAGCCAAAACCTTTGAAATTTACTAAAAATGAGGACAGACACAATTTTGGCATTTTGAAATAGAAATAATAGTAAGGACCAGCAGATTTTCCCCTAGGACCACCGATTTTAAGAACTCTGTCTTATTATTATTACGGTATACAATTATTGTCTTGTGTGTATGTTTAAAGAATGGTGATAGAATGGGGTTCTAAAAGTATAAGAAAAATACCCACAATAAACAAAATATTCAATCTCTATAAATAATATGTTGTCATTCATTATATTATTAAAACAGAAAGTCCATATTGTTCCATTAAAAGATGAGATAAAAAATATTTGTATTCCAAAGAAGAGCCCATGATGAGCAAAGTAATGTGTAACCTGGGAACAGTATATCCTGGTGTAACAAATATTATGATTTTTTTATAATTGAAAGACACAAATAATTTGGAAAATCAAGTAAAAATATATAACCACCTTATTTCATGGAGATTTCATGTTCTTACGATTAAAAAGAAAGTTACTTACTATTATTTACTTCTAACAATCATAAACTTGTGAGTTTGCCTCTTCAACACATTATTCAAATGTTTGCTATTTTCCAGCGTGTCGTTTTTGACGTTTTTTTCTACGAAAACCGTATTTCAATAAATGAATCTGAATTTATAAATACATGCTGTCACAACTATTTTTATCCTCAACAACGATTGGTGGTTTATTTTAAGAGCTGAGCCCGAGATTTTTTTTCGACCATCTCAAAATTATTAAGGATTCAGTCAACCAGGCTATACAGTTATTGATAAAAAAAATAATGTAAATGCAAGGATGTATAACTAATATACGTCCTTGGTAAATGTAAAAAATATGAATTTGTATAAAGTGCATCTTTAGATTTTTTTAAAGTGAGAATGTCATTCATTCCAATTATCTTCTTTTTATAATTTATCGTAAGAACATGAAATAAGGTGATTATATATTTTTACTTAAATTTCCAAATTATTTGTGTCTTTCAATTATAAAAAAAATCATTGTTATAAATTAAATTGTTCATAAGGGCATTGGGCTCTCCTTCTTCCGTAGAACTAAAATGACTTTTGATACAAGCGTAATCCAAAGTGAGACTCTTTTGTATGGGAGTTTCGTTTCGCCCATGTTTGTTTGCAAATGGCGTCCTCGAATGTTGAATATTACCAAAAACAGAAAGAACTGCAAGATTTTATGTGTGAACAGTATGTTTAAATCACAGGACAATCAATTTACTCTAAATTCATCATAGTTTTTTCATATTGGAAAGCTATTTGTTGTTCTATTTATGTATATGCATCTCAAAATATAACTATCAATGATAAGGCCACTTTTAGTTTTAGTTTTAATAACTTTTATCTATAAAAATCACAGACAGATTTTCTTATGACTTTTTTAAATGCTTGACCTGTTTTCTTTTTCAAATCAATAGTTTCAGAATCACTATTATGTACAAAATGCAAATATATCAGATTAATCAAATATTTGAATTTTCTTGTCTTGACTTGTCACTACTCCAGTTTAGGTGAATCCCGATCCGTTCGCCCAAAATCATGTTCGCTCCCATTCACTTCCGCCCCTTTCAAGTTCACATCCTTTTTATATGTTTTGTGTTCAATACATTTTTAATCGTGTATAAGTACAGTATAGTGTCCGGTAATTCAACCCGTCCGGTAAACCCGCCCACTCCCATTTCTTCCGTAATTGTCATTTCCGTGAATATTTCGTCTGCTCTTTTATTCATAGGAACTGTACTTATCATCACTGCATGTCAAATTTTAAAGAAAAATCCTTTATTACGAAAATATCTAGGGATATATTTGATACAGTTTCTAAAGCTTAAGATAATCATATTATTGCTTACAAAACTCATTTCTGACTTGAAATTTTTTTTGGGATTATCTGGAATCTCTATAAGTGGTCTTTTAATAAACAGATCACTTTTCCTTTCATAAATTTGTGATAAACTGGCCCTCCATACATATTTATTGTGCATGGACGGATTTACCGGACAAACACATTTCCGATAAAAACATTGATGACCCACTTGTTTTGTTGATTTTAAAATTTATTTCAGATATTTTTTGGGAAATGAGATAAACTACTCAAAGTTGATTTGTCAGCTAATCGATTTATATTAAATTTGATACAATTTGTATATAATTTTAAAGCAGAAATACATACGATCAAAGCCTTATGTGGGCCGATTTACCGGACTGCATCGTAAATGTATTGCTATAAATAAGTTTTTTGTATTGTTTCCTAAAAAATAAAGTAATATTCTTAAAATGTATTGTTTCCTAAAAAAAAAGTAATATTCTTAAAATGTATTGTTTCCTGTAGTGTTTTATTATTTATTTTGACGAAATGAATCATGAATAAAAGATTGTCATGAAGATTAAGGCAAAGTTCATTCATCTAAGACTTGTATTAAAAAAAAAAGGCAAAAGATACCAAATCTTCTTTGATTTTATTTATTCATACCCGAGTTCATGCCAAGCTAACTGCATGTTGTATATACATGTACATCAAATCTAGTTATAACGACAATCATGATTTTCAAACACAGAACAATAATACCAAATTTGGCTATGTAAATACCAATTAACAGTAATCATAAAATGAAATAGAGAATGGAAATTGGAAATGCATACCTAATTAACACTGAAAAATTAATCATCAAATCACAAAAAAAATATTTCATTTAAAAATTCCCGAATTTTTATTAATGAAAATTTAAATATTTTGATATTAAAACATCTAATAATTCAACCAGTATTTGAATAGAAATAGGGTGCGAACAAACCCAGGGGGCGAACGTGTATTGGAGTGAACAGACCCGATACCAGTTTAGGTTCATCTTATTCATTAATACTTAGAGTTACTTAAAGATGATTTCTAGTACAGGATCCTTACAGTTCTTCACCAGATTCATAATTTAATTTATTTGATTTACTTTTAGTTTTTTGACTTCCTCATATTTCTCTTCATTTATCCAATGTTTGTCTAACCGGTTTTTGAAGGCAAGTTTAAAAAAGATAGAAAAGAGCTTGCTTCCTTATCATTAATAAGTAGCCATTTACAATTTTAAATGCTTCATTGAATCACATCCCCTCTTCATAATTCTCCTGTGTGATAATGTAGGTAAGCCTAGTTTTTTCAATCTTTCTGGATAACTCATATCTTTGAGGCCTGGTAGCTGTTTAGTTGCCCTTCTTAGAACTATCTTGTCAATATCTTTTTTCTTGTATGGTGACCAAACTGAACTTGCGTAGTCCAGGTGAGTTCTTACCATAGTTTTATACAATGGTAAGAATGTCTCTGTACCCAAATATTTAAATGTTCTCCTGAGGACCGCAAAGATTGTGTTGGCCTTATTGACTTTTATACTTATATGATTTTTGAATGAGACTTCTGAGTCGATTAAGACTCCTATATCTTTTTCCTTCTTGACCCTTGTAATTGTTTTACTGCGTAGACTGTAACTAGGTAATTGATCGCTGCTGTTTGCTTTCTTAGAAATTTTCATATGTTTACACTTCTCGGGATGAAATTTTAAAAACCATCTATCGCTCCATGCTTCAACTTGTTTAGGTCCTCTTGTAAAATATTGCTATCTTTTGGATCTTTTATTATTCTAAACATCTTGGTGTCATCTGCGAATAGGTAAACATCTGAATCTACTTAGTCAGGTAGGTCGTTTATATATATTACAAACAGCAGAGGGCCCAGCATTGATCCTTGAGGAATCCCTGATGTTACGTTTGCCCAGTCTGATTCTTCACCATTTACCATTACCTTTTGTTGTCTACCATAATATAGAAAGCTTGTGATCCATCCTAATATGTGGTCTTCTCTTCCAAAGTTATTTATTTTGGTAATCTTTTATGCTTTCCTAAAATTGGTATAAATGCAATCTGTTTCTAGGTCCTGATCTAATGCCTCTGTCTACTTATCAATAACATCAAATCCAGTTGACCTCCCTGCAATAAAACCATATTGCTTTTTAGAAAACAGTTTATTTATTTTCCATTTGGTCTATTATACATGTATATTCCCATAGTATTTTTTCCATTATTTTACATACAACTGATGTCAAGCTGACTGTTCTGAAATTTTTAGCTAGTGACTTATTTCCCTTCTTAAATATTGCACTAATCATTGCATTTTTGCAATCGGTTGGAACTGATTTACTATCAATTGACTAGTTAAAAATTAGGCACAACAGCTTTGCTGGATGTAGTTTGTCCATACCTGGTGATTTATCTATTTTTAACTTTGTTAAATATTTAAGAACTGTTTCCTCCCTAATTATTGGTTTTGACATTAAGTTTATTACTGGCACCTGCTCTGGTATTGGTACTTGTCTGTCTGGTTCTTCAGTGAATACACTGGAAAAGTAATCAACTAGTATCTTTGCTTTTATATTGTTATCCTCATTTTTTTCTGATTTTTTATCTTCTGGATCAATGTGTAAGTCCCCAATCCCTTTTAAAGAGATATGTTCAATTAAACATAGTAACATGAGCTCTCTTAGAGCTTTTAAACTGACTTGATATTTAAAACATATAACAAGTATTTAATACATAATTTTTTTATTAGTTGTTATTGGCTTTTAACTAGCTTTCAGTTTAAACTGCCAGTACTCTCAGATCTGTACTTTTTGTCATTGGTATTTTAATTAGTTTTTTTGTATGCTTTGTTTCTTGTGGAGAGTTGCATTTTGTCTCATTGGTAATCATACCACATCTTCTTATTTTTATATTAGATTAATTTACATAAAAAATTACACTGTTGTTAGAATTGGTGAAAGTAAGCTTCTTGTCATCACATGTAAGTAGTTCTGATTCCTCATTCATTTAAGGCCCTTTTTGAAGTAAAACTTTGAAATAGTAAAATTCCTATGATTATGGTATGGTCTTCTTTCTGAATTAAATTAAGTGACCTTGTATAACATTCATCACCATGATGGTAGCTAGTGTGTATTATAGAGGTGTTATACATGTTTAATATCTTACCAAAAATTTTCCACAGATTCCTTTGTAAAATACAATATTGTGGGATATTTAACAATACATACAATCTTGAATATTTTAGAATTAAAAAAAAAAATGTTCATGCTGAAAAACTTTAGCATGCTAACTTTGCCTTTCAAATCTTGTAGGTTCTAAAGAGGCTCTGAATATATGAAATGATATTGCACTTGTTAGCAAATAAAATTAAAATGCCCTTGAATGTGAGATATGACAGATATAATTGCTGTTGCAATGTTGTTTAAAAGAATTGGTGCTTATAAAACAAATTGTAAAAGGACAGTATTGCTATATTTGGTACTTTATAATATGACAAGTTAGTTTAATGTATTCAACAAATATGAAGGAATAATGTCTTTTACAGTATACTTTCAAGCTCATGTAAGTTAATATAATGCTTTGAACATTGTATACCAGTGAAATTACCCTAAAATAAAAGACATAAATATTACAAAACTTGTTATACATGTACTTGTAGGGAACAGAGAAGACAACATTTAGAACATCAGTTGCAGGTTTACTCTAGGTCTGATGAAAGACTGTAAGCATTAATTTTATCTAAGAGTTAATTCTGTTTGTAAATATCTAAAATATTGCCATGAAATGTCTAATTGTCTAAAAAATTATCATATAAATTTTAGAAGAAACAAATTTTGTATTGTGGGTCTCTTTCCTTTAATGTCAATGTTGATTTTTTTTCACGTTACAGTAAATTTGGAAGTAGAAGACATAAATATAGTTTTAACATTTTAACATTATCGTCACTACTAAATTAGAAATGTTTTCTTATACAGGTATACCCCATTTTACCAAGTACTAAGGGTACAAGTATTATGTTTCTGCCCTGTCATCCTGTCTGCCACTTAGCTGTCACTAAATATTGGTTTCTGGGTGATATTTGGAGATTCATACTTATGATCGGAATCAATTTTGGATACATTATTGTAAATGGTCACTCAAACTGAAGTTTTGAAAGGATGATCCTTAGTGCAGAAAAGGGCTATAGGGATGATAAATAGAGAATATTTGTTGGAATTTGAACCAAAGTTTGATAAATGGTCAAATCCATAGTAAAGGTCACCATGTTAAAAATAGATCCAAATCAGTGCATATCTTCTTATTTTATATATAATGGATTTCTTTTTGATAGGTCTTGAAACTTTATTAGAAGTGGAACCAAAAATTTAATATTTGACCTTGAACCTTTGTTCATCGACTTTGGATTTTTTTTTTATAAGATTACAGGTTGACATATTGTCATTTTGAAATCAATATTTGCATTTTACTATCAAAATGACATGCAAGCCCTCTGTGTCAACAGTTTATTTTATAAAGTGTCTTTGCAAAACAGATTCAAATGCTAATGTAAAACAATACCATTGCTTAACAAGCTTCATTATTATATCCTTCAAGACAGAATCAAAATGAAATATCTTTCTTAAAACATATGATGCTGCAATTGGTTCACTCTAGAATACATTTGATTCAAATCATTTCCATTACCAGAAAAACTTTTTAATTATATACTGATTTCTAAAGTCATTTCAAGGTTTTATGTGCTAACTGGATCCCTGCATCTTTGAACTGATAAAGTCATTGTGCCTGCTTGACATTTTTTAAACATCTGTCTTTATTCTTATGTACATAATCCAACCATGCCTAAAGAAATATATTAATTTTATCAACTAACACATTTATCTGAGCAGTCATAATGAAATTATCCCCATCAGAATATTCAGTCCTTTGCTCTACATACTGAAGTAAATTTTATACCCAATAAATGTGCAAATGACATCAAATATTGCCACTTGAAACCAAACACTTTGATGGAAAGATAACAATTTGAATCAAGCATATTGAATGCAGTTATATTGTGTCCCTACTATATTTATGTTTCAAACAGGTAACTTTTGTCTTCAGTCATAGAGTTAGTAGGATGCCAGGTACCAGTTATTCAAAATCTAAAGACACTTCAAACAAGTAAATAAAAAAAGAGCACAGTGTGTTTTTGATGTAAAAGTGGACAGTGGTTGCACAAGAATATATTGATATGTACCTAATTTACCTCATTAATATGTGACTTCCAATAACTTTGTGGCACATGCTTTGCTATTGTTTTCTGATGTATACATGAGGAAGCACCATTTTAAAACTAACATTTTGGAAATGTTGCAAATATGAAAGCTTACGGAGCACAAACATATTCAAGTCACTTCTTAGAGTTATTTCAAGCTCATGCTATTTTTTGTTTGTAAATATGTGTTTTAAACTGTGAAAATATTTACTTCCTTATTTTCTTACTACATATACAGTATATGATGGTTCTAACACTATACACAGTATTTTTTATCATACCAATAAGTTTTCTTTTAATGTTTTTTTTTTTAAATTTTTATAAAATATCCCTTAAAGGGGCACTAGCTACGAGATATAGAGAAATTGAAATACATGTATGTTTTTTTTTTGTTCAATCATTAATGAAAGTGAAATAATGAAATAAATAATTCACTTTTAACAGCCAGTTTGGTTCAATTTTGTCAAAATAAGCTCAGAAACGTTGCTGATGAATTATTCACTTGTAAGTGAATAATTTGACCTCATTGAATCCATATTCATGTGACCTTCAATTTAACCCCTTAGCTAGAGATAGGTTACCCATAAACTAGGCGTTTTCAGCTATAAAAAATGAAAAGAATGTCAACAATGAAAGTGAAACAAGGGTAAACCATTTGGTTTACTGATTTGATCCTCAAAATCTTAATTCTTATACAGGTAAACATGATAATTAACATATTTTTTAACCTAGAATATGAAACCAAACGGACCTAGAAAAATCCAATTGCAAGTGTTTGCTATCTATTTATATCTATATTTATGTTTATATCAGGTTATATGACCGTCTACAGTCTTCGGAGGTCACCACAATGGTTAATTAGATGGCGTCTAGACTTAAATACACACGAAATGCTGATACATATTATAGAGTCCATGCATTTTAAATTGTTTATTTTAGACTCTTTATAATTTGGATATACGTTTTAGTATGTTATAAATCAAATATGAGAATTTGAATCAAATTGGTGAACATGAATTTGACAGCTAATGCCCCTTCAAATGATTTGAAATAAGAAATTTAAGGTCTTCGTGATACTAATCATGGAAGTTTTGTAAATTATTGGTAGAAGTGGTAGAAGTTAAAATATTATTTTTCTTAAAAAGACCGGCAAAAGTTTCTTCTATCGAAATATTTACTGTGTACTATGCAAAAGTGTGTATGTATTTTTACGATACCAGCAGTTGTTTGTTTCTTGGTTTTTACTCAAATAAAAAAATATATAGCTCTGTGATACCCCCCAAAAAATGATTAAAGATGTGTATTGAGTAATTTTATACATGTATATTTACTTTGTCTTCTCATAGAGCTAAGCTAAGAGCTACTAGATTACAGAGCTATTGGAGGAAAATATGTGAAGATCAGAGAAGAAGTCAGCAAAGAAATGACCAGATTTTAAAAGAGTTTGATCGAATTGATGCACATTTGGGAAACTTGTCAGCTAGGACAGAGAGACTCAGACTTCTTAAGGCATGACTAAAATATTTTTTTAATGGCCAAGATTACAACTAAAACCATACATGTGTTAACCAATTTTCTTACAATTATTCAGTTCAGCTTAAATTTTATCTTAAGCTATATAATCTATGATCTTATATTGAAAACAATATTTTACATCTGAAACAACCTTCTCCAGGTAACTAACTACCTTAGATATGTACAACTTCCACTTTTGCAATTCCTTTTTTAACACCTGATATTTTTTAAAATTGGTCTTGATTACATTTGAATAGAATGACCACGTTAGAAAATTGGGTAACACATACATGTGTTTTGATTTCAGATTTTTTTTGTATTTGTTTTGCAGAATATAATGGCAATTTTGTTTATCTATCAAAGTTCTTCATGAATTAGAAATTATTTTCTGTAATTTCTGCTATTCTATAATGGTCAGTATCACATTTAAAAGCATTTAGGTAAACAGAAGAAAAATTGTGCAACTTGTTATTTCTATTGGCTATATATATTAACAAATTCAGTCTCACTTTCAGCAACAATATGCGGATTACATAGAAAAAACATATCCACAATGGCACCAACAGGTTTTGCAGATGAAACAAAGGAAAGATGAATCACAGAAGGTTTGCTTCTTAAAAATATCTCAAACTCTAGAATTGAGAACGGTTTCTCATGCTCTCAGACTTTATACAGTGATAATACAGATAGTGATTACAGTCATTATTATTCCCAAAAATGTTTGCTTAGTTTAGATTTAAATAATTGGGCTACTTCAGAAACAAATTATAAACCATTTTCTCCATCTTATCAAACATTCTACATTTGTTAATTAGAATTATTATCAATGTACATGCTAATTTAGCCAAATACAGAAACATAACACTTAATGAATTTAAATATCAATTAAGGTTCTCATGGCCCAAAATATCAATGTTAGCTATTGCAATCATTTAATTTTCATTGTTATCTGTTCTGGAGATAATCCTTTTGAAATCCCTAGGCCAATTGGACCTAGATATCATGATGTCTACTTTTTGAAATTTTATCTGATGACCCAACTAATCAAACAAAATGAGCCACTTTACTATAAAAATATATATAATGAAATATTGATGTTGCTTCTCCAATGACAATGCTTATTGAGACCAAGTTTACACTTGAAGATAAACTATCAAACATCATCATGATACCTAGGTCATGATGTATGTAAATTTCATACAACAATTATATTTTTAAAATGACTTTGTCAACAACCAAAAAAGAAGATAGATAATAAAGTTAAAAGCCAATATTAGTCTTTTCCTCTGCAAATGCAAAGTCTGATGAGACCACATGCTTGTGAATAGGTCATAGTGTGACCTGCCATTGGGAATGTGTCACTTGATCCATGCTTGCTAATCAAGGTAGATGAAAAAGAACTGATAGAAATAATTTTAAAATGAATAGTTGTTTAGACCAGTTTTAATCAGTTTAAACAGGAATATTACTAAGATTATACCCTTTCAAATTACAATTAATGACCTTGTCAAGATCTAAAATTACTATCACATATATATTACATAGAACTTTATGGTGAAATACAGCCAAAGTAAATCAAATGTTATTCTTAGGGAGTCTGTTTCATATTTATATTTTATGACTTGGCAGATGCAGCAACTGAGACTTGTTATAAAACTTTATAGTGTCAAACAACAATTTTGTTGTTGTTATTTTTAAATTTTTTTACCTCTAGATCCCATAATCGGCTTGCATTGCATATTACCAAATGTAGCTAAATGATTCCATGATAGCCTTCTTATGTGGTATATTTCATTGATAGAGTCATTATGCTTTGATAAAATATTTCAGCATCATCATGAAAGAGCTACTAACTTGTCCCAGTTTTCTCAGTACACACCACAGAAGCAACAGCCAGTTACAGATCAGTTTGTGGCCTCTACATCATCTAGTCAGTTTGCTACACAGCCTGGACAACAGAATCAGTTTGTTGCTTCTACACCTGCATATCATCAACAACAACAACATGTTCCTGATGTATCAGTTACACCTATACATAGAGATTCAAGAGACAGAATTAGTACTCAGGTAAATATCTCCAAGCTGGTTACTGCTATTTATTCTGATGTAATGCATCCACCAGTAAATTTTAAAAAAACTGTCACATTTAGAGATATTTTCCTAATGCTTGTAGTTTAAAGGTTTGGTTTGCTTTCTTGCTTTGTTTGTATAAATGTTTGCTCAAGCATTGTACTTAAGATTGACATCTGCAATCAATAGATAGGCAGGGCTTCAGCTTGTATACATTAACTTAAATGTTTTTGGATGTTAAGTATAATGCAGAGTATAATGTATACAAGCTGAAGCCCCGCCTATGTATTGATTGCAGATGTCAATCTTAATTACAATGCTTGAGCAAACATTTATACAAACAAAGCAAGCAAGCAAGCCAACTAAACCTTTAAACTACAAGCATTAGGAAAATAACTATAAATGGAGCTATAATATACTTTCATGGAAACACCTAATAGCTAGGTCAGACTTTTCATTTTTGTCTCGCCTGTGACTTCTGTTGTACAAAGAGAGACATAGGGATAGTGATCCAGCATGAGACAGTTTTCACTTGACCTCGACCTCATTTCATGGATCAGTGAACAAGGTTAGGTTTTTTTGGTCAAGTCCATATCTCATATACTATAAGCAATGGATCTACTATATTTGGTGTATGGAATATTTTTAAGGTGTACATGTCCGACTGGTTGGTTTCATCTGACCATGACCTCAATTTCAGGGTTCATTGGACAATGTTTAGTTTTTGCGGTTTTGTCTATTCCTCAGAATGATTGTAAGATGTACATGTTCGTCTGACAGGGTTCATATGACTATGATATCATTTTCATGGTTCATTGGGCAATATTTAGTTTTTGATTTGATTTGATTTGATTTTTGATGTTTTAACACCACTTTTAAGCACCGCTTTTGGGCTATTTTGTGGCGGCCAGTTTTTATTGGTTGAGGAAGCTGGAGTGCCCTGAGAAAACCACCGACCTTCGATAGGAAAACTGACAATCCTAGTCAATTAAGATTGGAGTCAAGTGCACCCGCACGAGCGTGGTTCGAACTCACAACCTCAGTATTTAGTTTTAGTTTTTGTAATTTTATCAGTTTATCAGATACTATAAACAATAGGTCAACTATATTTGGTATATGGAATGATTGTAAGGTGTACATGTCTGTCTGGCAGGGTTCATATGACCTTGACCTCATTTTTGTGGTTCATTGGTCAATTTTAAGATTTTGTGGTTTGATCTTTTTGTCTGGAACTATTAGCAATAGGACCGTGGAATGATTGTAAGGTATGCATGTCTGTCTGGCATGGTTCATCTGTCAGTTACTTCATTTTCATAGAACATTGATAATTTTAAGTGTATGTGATAGTTGTAGTAAAACCTTCATATAACAGACTTTTAACATAAGTTCAATGATAAGTAAAACAGGTGAGAGACATTGCAGCGTGTGCACTCTTGTGTAGTATATTTACAAAAAAACAATTAAACAGTTATTATTTTTGACAATGGACAAAGTTTTTATGTTTGGCTCACCTGGCTTTTAGCCCACAGTGTGCAACTGCTATCACTTGTCATCTGTATCACATTGTAAACTTTAAAAAAAACTTCTCCTCTGAAAGCATGTGAACAATTGGGACCTTAATTTTCCTGCATCATCATACAGGTGTCTTCTTAAAAAGTTATGTTTGCTTTCATAATTATATAACTTTATCAAACAAACATGACCCGCCACTTAACCAAAAATAAAACATACTGGTATATCCACACAAATTTTTTTTTAAATCCGAAAAAATCCTGTAATCCTGACATTACCTGTTCTAACATGACACAAGATTGATCAGTCAGTACACTTATAAACATGTACGATATTTATGCATGAAAAAACAACAGAACAAATAAAAACAAACTTGAATCATGGCAAGAGTCTGGTTACAATACCATGGCTTGTGATACAGTCTGACATTTATGAGCATAAGTAGTATTTAGACCACTGGGGAACATATTTTATATTACCAGTATTCAAGATAAATGTCTAATTATGAGAAAATATCTTATAAGTCATGAATAATTCAGTATAAACTGCTCACAACATGAATTCTAAGTTTCTTTAGATTAAAAGTTGTAAAATTTCTCTGTCATTCAATCAATCAACCACTTACACACTTATGATACCCACTATCAGTAGTATATGTTTACATTCAAAACAACTTTTTCTTGAAGGTGACACAAGAATCTGCAGTGTATGCTAATTTTACCTCAGTAACCAGAGACAGTTCAATGCCTCAGTTCACTACACCACCACAAACTAGTACACAGCAGCAGCATGCTGCTTCTCTTCAAAAACAGCATAGTAATCAGCAGTATGTATCACCATCTCAGACCTCAGCAGCTGGGTATAAGGTTCCTGCAGAGAAAGAATCGGATGCTCAGTTGAAAGTTAGTGATTTACAAGGAGACATCAGTTTTAGTTCTGATATTCCATCTGAGGTTATAAATAGACCTATTCAGAGTATAACTGTTGAGAAATTTGGACAGAAAGTTACACAGGAACCCAGAGTGGAATCACCAGGTACTAGAATAAAAACCTTTATATCTTAAATAAGCTTTTCGTAGAATTTATTTATTAATCTTGCTAGTTGAGGTAAATTAACCTTGTTCCTTGTTACTACATTCATGTTTTGGTAAATTGTGTTTGTATGAACTAGAACAAAGCTTTGGGGTATGTAGAAAACATATGGGAACATCATCTCAGAATTTATTTGACATGTTGAATTAATATGATGTATTGGTGTTTATACAGGTGTTTTATTGTTTGTGTATTTGTGATTGTTATGCCTTTCTTAATCCTATGATGGCAGCCTTGTGTAATATGTATTTAAAAGACACTTAAGACTTTCATGAAAATTTCTAGGAAAAGAATTGTATTGATTTGATAATATGTGTGAATGATTAGATAATGATTTTGTCATTTATAATTATTGTGGGTTTCAAGGTACATGCATGCATGCATAATCCAGTACTAGGTAAATCAAATGGTTAAAATTTGATATTTTTGTTTTCTGTCTTTGTAAAGATATTGTATCTAAATCAACATCTGGTCAAATGGAACCAAATTCAGCTGATGAAGCAGATGATGATATTAGTAACTTTGACGAGGAGGACATTCCTGATGATGGCCGTCAAGCACCTACCCCAGCACGACAAGCCACACATGTAGATGTAATGGAGGAGATGTCTTCCCCTGAAGAATCCCCTATACCTACACCTCAACCAGGTGGCCATCAAGTCTTAACAGTACCTACAGCTGGAATAAGGTATAACATTGATATTCAAAGTATTTTATAGGGAAATTTCTGGATAGTGTTCGAAGAATAATTCTGTTTGAGAAAAATATTTTAAAAAGACAAGCCTTTAGTTACATTTTTAGCTCACCTGGCCCGAAGGGCCAAGTGAGCTATTCTCATCACTTGGCGTCCGTCGTCGTCCGTCGTCGTCGTCGTTAACTTTTTACATTTTGAACTTCTTCTAGAGAACCACTGAATGGAATGAAACCAAACATGGCATGAATGTTCCTTATGAGGTGCTGACCAAGTGTTGTTACTTTGTAGCCAATCCATCATACAAGATGGCCGCCAGCGGGGGACTTAGTTTAACATAGGACCCTATGGGAAATACATACAAATGTCTTCTTTTAGAGAACCACTGAATGGAATGAAACCAAACATGGTATGAATGTTCCTTATGAGGTGCTGACCAAGTGTTGTTACTTTGAAGCCGATTCATCATCCAAGATGGCCACAAGCGGGGGACTTAGTTTAACATAGGACCCTATGGGAAATATTTACAAATGTCTTCTTTTAGAGAACAACTGAATGGAATGAAACCAAACATGGCATGAATGTTCCTAATGCAGTGCTGACTAAGTGTTGTTACTTTGAAGCTGATCCATCATCCAAGATGGCCACCAGCGGGGGACTTAGTTTAACATAGGACCCTATGGGAAATGCATACGAATGTCTTCTTTTAGAGAACCACTGAATGGAATGAAACCAAACATGGCATGGATGTTCCTTATTAGGTGCTGACCAAGTGTTGTTACTTTGAAGCTGATCCATCATCCAAGATGGCCACCAGCGGGGGACTTAGTTTAACATAGGACCCTATGGGAAATACATACAAATGTCTTCTTTTAAAGAACCATTGAATGGAATGAAACCAAACATGGCATGAATGTTCCTTTTGAGGTGCTGACCAAGTGTTGTTACTTTGAAGCTGATCCATCATCCAAGATGGCCGCCAGCGGGGGACTTAGTTTAACATAGGACCCTAAGGGAAATACATACGAATGTCTTCTTTTAGAGAACCACTGAATGGAATGAAACCAAACATGGAATGAATGTTCCTTATGAAATGCTGACCAAGTGTTGTTTCTTTGAAGCCGACCCATCATTCAAGATGGCCACCAGCGGGGGACTTAGTTTAACATAGGACCCTATGGGAAATACATGTGAATGTCTTCTTTTTGAGAACCACTGAATGGAATGAAACCAAACATGGCATGAATGTTCCTTATTAGGTGCTGACCAAGTGTTGTTACTTTGAAGCAGATCCATCATCCAAGATGGCCACCAGCTGGGGACAGTGTTTAACATAAGACCCTATTGGAAATACATACAAATGCTTCTTCTAGAGGTGCACTGAATGGAATGAAACCAAACATGGCATAAATGTTTCTTATGAGGTGCTGATGAAGTGTTGCTACTTTGATTTATTGTTCAAGATGGCCACCAGGATTTTTTATTTAATTACAGGGCCAATATTAAACCAAATTTGGCCTCACTCATTATTAGGGTATCTGTTATGATTTTAATCTATTTTAACATGATTTCCAAAGCCAAAGTAGAATCAGGTGAGCGACACAGGCTCTTGAGAGCCTCTAGTTTCTTTCCTCAAGATTTTTACAGTTCACAAATTTTATTTCCTCATGAAACAAACTGGTCCTGGGGGTTAAAATCCTTCAGTCTGAATAAAAAAAGATATATGGGGTTAAACATCAATGAGACAGCAACTAAACAACCAAAATTTATATGAAATAGACAATGTGTCATTGTATTGCCTACAGAAATAGACAAATGCTCAAACCATATGGCAAGCTCTATGTCTTCCAAAATTATGAAAGAATTCAAAAGAGACAACAGAAAATCTGACTTACAGTTTCAAAATAGATCATAAAATATCAAATTTAATGAGAATTCTGGATTGTTAGACAGTCCATAAGATACTGACACTAACATAAATATTATTTTATCCATTATATTTCTATTTAAAACCTATGGATTTTTTTCTAGTCGTTCACCACTACTAGACTCAGAACTGACAATAGATGGTATTATACACCTGATACATTATGTTGAAAGTGTAATCCCTGATGCTTTGTCACTGGAAGGCTTCTACAGATCTACCCCACCACAGCATGGAGAAAAAATTGAAATCATTAGGTAAGATAAAGTTGAATTTATACAAAATGAAAGCAAGTGATTTTCACATTTTGCATAATTCATAAGTACAGTAACAATGTGCAAAATAATGTTGATTTATTAGGTGGGTGGAGCTTATTTTCTACAATCTTGGGTTGTTTTCATACAAATTAGAAACATCATATGACAGAATCAAATGGTTCATCTTTCAGTCAATGAAGAGTCAGCATTTGTATGAATTGAACACCTACTGTGAATATAGTTGTACCAAGAAAATGATATGAGACAAGTGTTACCTGTGAAAGTCAGAACACTTTCAAGTGGTTCATTTCTGCTGAGTTTGAATTTCACAATTTCTAGAGGTTAACCTGTTAGCAAGGTTTTTAACTGGATTTTCGAAGGAAAAATCGGTTATTGAATTGGGGATGTAAGGGGGCGGGCGGGTGGCTGCCAAATAGTGTCCGTTCACTAACATGAAAACACTTTGACGAAATTTTTTCAAATTTAGATATGTTGTTTCCTGTGACTAAATAAAGGTCAAGTTCAATTTTCACGATTTTAGCTTTTCTCGTTGTTGAGTTGTAGACCTTTCAGTAGCCAAAAGTGATATTTATTATGTGATTGAGTTATTTCCCTTTGAACAGAAATGGTGTAATTAATTAGTTATGTATAGATAGTCTATCAACGATTGTATCTGTTCAATTGATTTTAGTCAGGAGTGGTCAAAAATTTCTTTATAACTATTCTTTTTTAAGTCATGTGTGTTTTGAAGGTAGATGTCACAGTTGGTATGTGGTATTTTATTTTTGTTGTGTGTTTTAATGTTTAATTTTTACTTGATCCTGTTTGGGGGTCCAGATTTGCCAATATCATTTTCATTAGATAATAATCTATTTTTATTAAAGGATAAATTTCATTACATTACATTTTGTAGATAAAGTTGTTGACATTGATAGATAAGTTGCAGATCTACATTAGTTTGTGACAAATGAAAGAAAAAATATTGGGAACTATTAATTATATATATAAAGTTTGATTACACCATGGAAGTATTATATTGACAGGAACTCCAACAAACCGACTTCAAACGTTTATAGTGCAATGTTGCAAAATCGTTAAGTATCTGTTAATTAACTCGACATGTCATATGGATGCATGGGTTCAATCAAATTTTTGGAACCTTGTGATTGATCGTAATTACGGAATATACCAAAATAACCGGATGTGTACTTAATTGTCAAGGAAATGACATTTACCAACCATGTCCCTAAATAACAAATATGTCAGTATTGACGGGCTTTGCTGCGTAAAAACAAATAAGAAGAAAGAAACAAAAACGCGCGACTGTTTTCACAAAAAACTGAAGAGTAAAAAATACTCACAAGCCATAAACATTTCAGTTTTAATTACAATCAATTTAAATAGTAAGATTTTTATTCATGAGAGGGCCGTTGGCTAAACATGCATAACTGTTACATATACATGCTAGGCTTGAAAATCATAAAATTCTTATCTTAAGTTATAATCTGCATCTGTAATTGAGGTTCATTGCTAAATTTGACAAATATCTTGATTAATTGTTTACTGAAAGTCCAATGGCAAATATTTCATGCAATTCAACAAGAAACAAACACATAAATTGCTTAATATATTACGTTGTAAGATGTTTCAGAACTGTTAAGCATAACACACACAAATGAATTCAAATTTGGTTCCCATGATAAAATTTTAAGAATAAAAAAATATTTTCCTGCTTAGGGCCCATCATGATGATCGTTCTTTAAATGCATCCAGAAATATTTAAAGTTACGCCATTCTTATAAAAAATTCTGTCAGACGTCAGAGCAATCTCGGACTAGGTTGAAGGTTGAAGGTTGTTTTAAACTTTTGAATTATTATAAAAGGTGTAACAATTCATCTGTCTCGTAACCTGCGTGTAATTATTAACCTCTGTTAGTCTTTAAAACATATTTAATAAATACGTTTATTATATACTTAGTAGTAAATACAGATAAATTGTATGTGTAATACACCATGTACAATCATTGGCAAGCGTGCTGCATCAGCCACCTGTGATGATATCGATATCAGCATGGTTGCAAAGGCTTTATCACACCTTTAATCTGCATGACGTCACGTCATCGATTGTAGTCACTGTTGCAAAGGCTTTATCAAACCACTAATCTGTATGACGTCATGTCAGACCTATAATATGTATGACGTCATTTCAAACCTCCTTATCTGTATGACGTCATGTCACATAAAAAAACTTCTTCGTGAGGTATATGTATATAATAAAGTGTATATGATATGGCTTTTTCAATATCACACACCGTATCAACCCTCAAACAATATAATCCCTCGTGCAGATCTCTTGGGATTATATTGGTGTCTCGGGTTGAGACGGATGTGATATTGAAAAAGCCATATGATATTCTCTATTAATTACATTTTTCTACATTGATACGATAGAGAAAGCAATAAATATTTTTGTAACATTCAATAAAAATTAACAACCTTTAACTTAAATTTGATCTATCCTTCGCCATCTTACACACTACACTGGCATCACATTATTTTCCACAAACACCCGACTTCAGGTACATGTAATTTTTAATACCGGATATTTTCTGATTTCCAAGTTCCAATGATTAAAACATATTAAACAAAACTAAAAATAATCTTGCCCTCTTTCCGAATGCAGTTAATTTTCTTATGTCTGTTGAATATGGACCGATTTTTTAGATTTTTTCAGCTTTTGCCTTCATTTATTGAACAGAAACAGGTGACGTTATTCATGTGGTGATTCACAAATAACCACGGGAGTTTCTGTGTTTATTTACATTGGTAGGTAGATAAGACACTCGATACCAAATCACATGATAAGACCAGCTTCAGTTAACAGAACAAGGGAAGGCGGCATTGCAGATACCCCACAAAGGAGTTATCACATACTTGACAAACTGAGTCGGAACCTTTTATTTTCTTAAAGAAATCAGTGGGATGGGAATGTGCTAATTTTTCGTTGGAGTTCCTGTCAATATAATACTTCCATGATTACACTAAGTGTTTTTAAATAGTTTTCACCTGTTATCAGATAGGAAAGCATGTGGTAAATATCAATCACACAATTATAATTGGAGTGACAGATTTATTTGAAAATTTTCTGTTTCCTAAGTGTTGATGATAAGCTCTGTAGGACGGTATAAATATAGTTTGAATTTTACTGTTCATTATTAGACATTTTGAAGATAATTACAGATAAGTTTTATAGATTTTTAAAAGACATTGTATTAATGATAAATGACATTTTTGATTTTTTTTTTTCTTTTCTTTTGTAAATTGGGGTTGGTTTGTTTGTTATTCTGTATAAACTTATTTTCTGAATGCTATATATATATATTTTTTTGATGAAGCGAACTCCTTTAAAAACTAAGCTTATATTGTCTATTAATAAACATATATTTAGATTTCTGATTTTGGGCCCAGTGTTCAAGTTGGTCCAAATGGGGGTCCAAAATTAAACTGTGTTTGATTTCAACATAAATTGAATATATATAGGGTTCTTTGTAATTCTGAATCTAAACCTGTATTTATTTGCAATATTAATTAGATAATACCACATTGAGGTCCAAAGGGTCCTAATTAAACTTATGTTTGATTTCATCAAAAATTGAATTCTTGGGGTTCTCTGATATGCTGATTCTAACAATGTACTTAGATTTTGGATATTGGACTATAATAGGTAAATATCAAATTTCAAATTTTTCAGTTCTTTAACCACATTCATTTTGTGTCAGAAACCTATGCTGTGTCAAATATTCAATCACAATCCAAATTCAGAGCTGTTTTAAGCTTATATGTTGTGTTCATACTTGCTCAACTGTTCAGGGTTCGACCTCTGCAGGATCCGGTTTGCTGTCACTCTGACAGCCTCTTGTTATTTCATGTTTTGCTTGTTCATTATTCTCTGAATAAAAAATTTACGTGAGGGGATACTTTCATGATTTTATCTTATTCACGAAATTAGCAAACTTTTTGCATTTTCCTGTAGTCTGAATAAAATGTTATTTGAAGAAAGACTGACTGTTATGTTTTTTTGTTTGTTATGATTGTTGGAAATAAAATTAAAGGGACCTGTAAATTCCATACTTTCTGAAGCTCCCCCAAATTGTTGAAATGGATGTTCTTATAGAGTTCTGCCTTAAAAAGAGGGTATCCCACTTTTACATGATAACAAAAATGAAAAGAAGGTGAGCCCATTATAGAATAATTGACACAGTAAATAAAAAAAAAAGTCATGTTTATTCATATTTTTTACAAATTCAAGTATGTTGAGTTTCTAACAGCTGTTTAGAGAGCTCATTACAGTAGATACCAATTATATGATCAATCCATACATTTCAAATTAATAGATGTTAGCAGTAGCAGAACATATGTATACAATTGCTTTTTAGCTCACTTGGACCAAAGGGCCAAGTGAGCTTTTCTCATCATTTGTCGTCTGTCGTCCGTTGTCGTCGTAGGTGTCGTTGTCGTCGTCCATCGTCGTTAGCTTTTTACAAAAATCTTCTCCTCTGAAACCACTGGGCCAAATTAAACCAAACTTAACCACAATCATCATTAGGGTATCTAGTTTAAAAAATGTGTCCGATGACCCCGCCAACCAACCAAGATGGCCGCCATGGCTAAAAATAGAACATAGGGGTAAAATGTAGATTTTGTCTTATATCTCTGAAACCAAAGCATTTAGAGTAAATCTGATGTAGGGTAAAATTGATTATCAGGTCAAGATCTATCTGCCCTGAAATTTCCAGACAAATCTGACAACCTGTTGTTGGGTTTCTGCCCCTGAATTGGTAATTTTACGGAAATTTTGCAGTTTTTGGTTATTATCTTGAATATTATTATAGATAGAGATAAACTGTAAACAGCAATAATGTTCAGCAAAGTAAGATCTACAAATAAGTTGTCAGGACCAAAATTGTCAGTCGGCCCCTTTAGGAGTTATTGCCCTTAATAGTCAATTTTCAACAATTTTTCGTAAATTTTTGTAATCTTTTACAAAAATCTTCACTGAAACTATTGAGACAAATTTAATCGTACTTGGCCATAATCATTATTAGGGTATTTAGTTTAAAAAATTTGTCCGATGACCCCGCCTTCCAACCATCATGGCCGACATGGTTAAAAATAGAACATAGGGGTAAAATGCAGTTTTTGGTTTATATCTCTGAAACTAAAGCATTTAGAGCAAATCTGACAGGTGGCAAAAATGTTTATCAGATGTAGATTTATCTGCCCTGAAATTTTCAGACGAATCCAACAACCCGTTGTTGGGTTGCTGCCCCTGAGTTAGTAATTTTTACAAAAATTTTGCAGTTTTTAGCTCACCTGGCCAGAAGGGCCAAGTGAGCTTTTCTCATCACTTGTCATCCGTCGTCCGTCGGCGTAGTCGTTAGCTTTTTTCAAAAATCTTCTCCTCTGAAACCACTGGGCCAAATTTAACCAAACTTGGCCACAATCATCATTAGGGTATCTAGTTTAAAAAATGTTTCTGATGACCCCGCCAACCAACCAAGATGGCCGTCATGGCTAAAAATAGAACATAGGGGTAAAATGTAGATTTTGGCTTATATCTCTGAAACCAAAGCATTTAGAGTAAATCTGACATAGGGTAAAACTGATTATCAGGTAAAGATCTATTTGCCCTGAAATTTTCAGACAAATCTGACAACCTGTTGTTGGGTTGCTGCCCCTGAATTGGTAATTTTACGGAAATTTTGCAGTTTTTGGTTATTATCTTGAATATTATTATAGATAGAGATAAACTGTAAACAGCTATAATGTTCAGCAAAGTAAGATCTACAAATAAGTTGTCAGGACCAAAATTGTCAGTCGACCCCTTTAGGAGTTATTGCCCTTAATAGTCAATTTTTAACAATTTTTCGTAAATTTTTGTAATCTTTTACAAAAATCTTCTTCTCTGAAACTACTGAGACAAATTTAACCATACTTGGCCATAGTCATTATTAGGGTATTTAGTTTAAAAAATTGTCCGATGACCCCGCCTTCAACCATCATGGCCGACTTGGTTAAAAATAGAACATGGGGGTAAAATGCAGTTTTTGGTTTATATCTCTGAAACTAAAGCATTTAGAGCAAATCTGACAGGTGGCAAAAATGTTCATCAGATTTAGAATTATCTGCCCTGAAATTTTCAAACGAATCTGACAACCCGTTGTTGGGTTGCTGCCCCTGAGTTAGTAATTTTACAAAAATTTTGCAGTTTTTTGTTATTATCTTAGATATCATTATAATATCTAATATCTAATACTATTAATTATGATTTTAACCTTATTTTACATGATTTCCAAAGCATCAGTAAATACAGGTGAGCGACACAGGCTCTTGAGAGCCTCTAGTTACACTCATACCAGTACTTAAAACATACCAAACAAGTAATTGTAATGCATAATAAGAAAAAAATATTATTCTTATTATTACAGTAAGGCCAATGGTGAAGAACCTTTGATTGATTTAGATGCTGAAATGTGTACTATGGTAATTTTAGAAAATGTGGTCCTTGTGATTCGTAATTTACCTGCAGGATGTTTATTACCAGACGCCATCTTAGCCAGTAGTCATACAATCAACGAAGTACAAATAGGGCAAGTTTTACATATCATACCTCATCAGTATTTTACTCATACATATTTGAATGAAACAATATAATTATATTATTCTGCTTATGGCTCAGGCCTTTCAGACTACTTATGGGCAAAACACTTTTCCATGTTTAAGTTCATTTCTTCAAACTTACTGGTGAAAAAAATTCAGTCCACAGTCCATAGAGAAAGGTTATTGTTAATAGAAACCAGATGCAGTGTAATTATATGATTTTTATCATTTAATTCAATCAATTGACTTTCTGTTTCATATGAAATTGGAAAAATCAAACCTGTTTATCATTCACACATGTGTAAAAATGTTAAAATGAATCTTTTTTGTAAGAATGAAAATGTTATAAATTATTGCATCGTATTGTTACAAAAAAGTTAATATACAAATGTTATTAAATATTTGGCCCATGATTCATCTAAAGACCCAAAGCTTTGAACAGTAAAATTATTACTAATTGGATAGTAACTATAAATAATTCATTAATTATTTTGAAAATTTTGTAATAATTTCTCTAATTTATCCAATATAAGTAATGGCTAGCTTATGGTAACATTGTATGTACATTTTCAAATTTTCCCCATGTTTTATGTAAAAGTTTTTTTGAACTTGGATCATTAAAGTCCTGTCTGCAATAAAAGTCATGGAAGTGAGACATAAGCTCATTCTGTTGTCAGCGTTTGCTGCATCAACATTTATATTTAGTCTGTGGCTAAGTTTTTTTTTAGACATCAGTTGTGGTTAAGAAAATTTAAACATTCATGGTTTGTGACAAAACTTGGACAGAAGCTTCTTTATCCTCAAGAAAAAGTATCTGAAGAATTAAAAAAAAAAAATTGTATGTTTTCTGATAAATGGACTTCGTTTTTTGCAGTCAACATTACACTTTTTTCTTCTTTTTAGGAGAGTACTGTCTATAGAAGCCAAGCCATTGTGGGATTGTTTATTTATTCATTTTCTACAGTTGATTAAACATAAAGTGATGACTGTCAAAGAAGTAGCTGCTGTTTTTGTTCCATGTCTGGTGGTTGACTCTTCAGATTATCAGGACAAGGTTGGGCTGTTTTCATTTAAACATTTCAAGGACAGAAAATATTATTGAATACAACTGTTGGCCTATCTGACTGTAAATTATCTCTCATGATAGCTCAAGGTTGCCTTGTCCAATTCCTTCAAAAGTTAGGTTGCATGAAAACAAGGAAATTTCAATTTTTGACTCCTTATTACAATTCAAAATGTAGTCAATGAAAACACTGTCTTCACCATGTTATAATAACATAGACTTGTTTTAATTTGTATATATTTGACATAAAATTGCTATTTAACCTTTTAAATACTTTAAAGAAGCTAACAAATAATTTTTAGGCTTATGAATTGTTAGTGGATTTGTTAGAGAAAAAAGTAGACCAAGCTGCATCACCACCAACACCAAGGGAAGCAGCTGAAAGTATGAGGAGCAGTCAAGGGGGAGGTAACTATTCTATTTTACTTTAATTTGTATGGTATTGCCATAACTGTCTTTTTTTCGTATATGACTTTCTTCTTTAAAACTACAGATGTATAGAACAGTCTGAAACATTTAGCAAACACGAGATCAGTATATAATTATAGAGCATTGTAAAAACATGCTGTAAATAGAAGTAAAGAAAACAGTATGAATTCCCAAATGTGTAAATTCAGAATTTTTAAATGTGATATGATAAGCATTGCATTTATTTAAACTTAAATTTCAAATTCTGATCACGTCATGTTAAATGATGCATTTATTTTCAAATCCCATTCATTTTACATGTTTGTTCATTAGCAGTTGCATTATAAAAACATGCAATGATTTCTGATAGTATATTTCGGTAGATTGAATCACTATAATTGATAAATATTTTAAACATTGAAACAAATGGTTTTCAGAGAAAAAAAATATGCTTTGAAAATTACTAAATAACTGATTTATATCTCACTTACAGGAATGTTTACAAAGAAAAATATTCGGGAGATGCCATGTAATTTTTTATTTATTGAATTATGGCAAAGGGAAATACATATGTAACTTATCTTTTAACTTAAATTAACTTTATAGATATAATTGAGTTTGAATCCTTAACAATAATCTAAAAATTATTTATAAATAGCTTTCATTCTATATCTGTTTTATGCTTAATTGCAAAGGGTTTTGTATTATACATGTTTCATCAAAAGATAACTTGATAAAGCTAATTTATTTCTTCTAAGAAGGGACATTTAGCAATCATCAATCAATCAATCTCATAAAAATTGCTTAATAGCAAAGTAAAGCACTTTCTAAATTGTTTCTGTCAATATTGACATTTCATAAAAGGAACAGTGAAATCTTATTGTCAACATTTTCTGTGCTAGTTAAATGTTTTGCAGTGTCAATTTTAAGATATTATTTCAAAAATAAAAAAAAATAGCATTTTATTCACTTTGTCAGAAATTATTAGTTTCAGCTGAGATAGAAATTGATGAGTTTGGCAAATACAAAGGTAACACAGGTTAAGCCATTGGCATCAAAGTTGACTGTGGATATTTGAATTTGCTAAAACATAATGCTTTTCTTTGCCCCCAAAAAGATGAATTTTGACAATGTTCTATAGTCAATTTTGAAGAAAATAAAAAATCATACTTCTCAGAAATACAGTCAATATCATCCAAAAACAGTATGAATGAATCACAGATAACTCTGTTACTGTTTACAGTTGGAATCTCTGGAAGATAAATAATGGAAAATGATGTTTTGTGTTTTATTCAAATTTTAATCTCTCCCTTACAAATTAGGAAGTCTAACTAGTTTTTTCTTTAAAAAGCAAATATCATACAGTTTGAATGATGTGGAACATGACAAATAGTTAATACTGAATTTTTGAGAAGTTGACAAATGATGATATTTTTTATATATTTTTTAAATGCATGGCTATATATTTGTTTGCTGTGTAAATCAGAATGAAGTGGGGAATTGACATGTCATTTATATTTTTAGACCATAGCCTTAAAGTTTCATTTGAAGATACTTTTTAAACTTCAATGTGTTTTATCTGTTCTGTAAATTTCTCTTGAAACTGCCTGCATGTTGTAATCAGTTTTGGGAGGGATCAAATGATTTCTTTAAAAAAAATGTAGCCAATTGCCACATTGCTAATTTTTAAATAATCTTTTTAATCTTATCAAATTTTTATACATAAGATTATCATGCATAGTGTTCATACTTACTGATACTACATAATTTCTGGTGATTATATTTTTTAATATTTTCCCAATAGAATAAAACTAATTAATGATAAGTTATTTATCTGACATTTTATTTGTAATTAAAAAAATTATGCTCCACATCAAAACTTTTCATAATGGTACTATTTTGAAAAGTTACTACAAACTTTTTTCATTTCAATGCTAGCCTAGATGATGATTTTGATGTAATGTACTGAAATTTGAGACTTTGTTTGATTTAAAATCCAAGATAGCTGTCAATGTAGACCCTAGTTAGTTTAACTTTGGAGCCTATTGGAAATGCATGTAAACAGTTATTTAGACATTATTTCACAGATTTATTTGAAATTTTAAACAATCAAATATTTTTTTATTTTAATTTTTTTTATTTTATTTTCATTTCAATTTGAAATCCAAGTTTACTGCCAAGGTAGAATATTTTTTACTTTCATGATACTATGCACAAAAGATACCATGATGATTTCTCATAAAACTTTTTATTTTGGTGCTTATCTGAAACTCCTGATTACAAACACCTAAGATCATAACTTAATAATTGTATGCACATATAATTTTATAAATACCATTTGTTTCTCATATAAGTGTACTGGTACCCAGTGATCACATGATCATAAAGACCTCTCATGAATAATTCATGAAGAATTCAGTTAAACATCATTTGGTCAGGGGGGCCTCGGTGGCCAAGTGGTCTAAGTAGTTCATCTATTGTATCACTTAGGCTATCGACACTGAGGTTGTGAGTTAGAAGCCAGCACGTGGCAGGTGCTTTCAACTCCAATCCTAACTGACTAGGATTGTCAGTTTTCCTACTGAAGGTCGGTGGTTCTCTCCAGACACTCCAGCTTTCTCCACCAATAAAAATTGACACCCGATATATAGCCAATAGTGCTGAAAGTGGCATTAAACACCAACAATCAATCAATCATTGGGTCAGTTTAATCATGTCATGTAGCATAATAAAACATTGATTATGGTTCATTCTTATATCATAACATCAGTGAATGATAAAACTGTTCAATCATGTCATGTCATTTGATCTGGTAATGGCATTTAATCACATTTGAATATCACATGGTAACAGTTTGGTTAGTGTTGACTGTGTCAGAATTTAATAAATAACAAACTAAAGGAAAGAAGCTTTTGGGTTGAAGGCTCCTTTATTATTTTTTTAAGTGTTTTGGGATTTAAAAAAGTATCATACATTTTCAGAACATTTGTTTTCCTTTTCTCTGTATTCTTATGTGCAAATTATTTGCAAGTAGAGAATAGGCATACATTGCATACGGAAAAGCAGAGGAAATAGTTTAGTTTTTAGTTCAGATAAATTATACAAATTATTATTCAGAACTTTATATTGTTTTTTAAAAAAAATCAATGATTATTTTATCATTACTTTTATTTTAGTGTTAGTTTTGTATTAGTAATGTATTCATCTGTCAGAAAAAAATATTTGGGTGAATAGTTTGATTCGTCTTTTAATCGAATTAAATTAGCATGCCTTTAGTAAAATATAATCTGAAATTCTAAAGATTCTGTTGAACATACAATTAATGATTTTATTTAATTGTTAGAATGATTTCCCAGTAAATTATTGTAAATGCTTTATTATGCATTCGCCACTCACTTTTGTTTTAGATGGCCTGCTTTCAAGAATTTAGTTCTTATGTCTGTCCACAGACACAGGCGCATTGATTTAAACCCGACTACTCTAGTTGATTTAGATGTAACAAGATTTGTTTATGCTTTTAAAGTGGTAAATCAGATACTTCTTATTTTGTGATATATTTTCTTTTCTGATTTTTCTGAATTCAGTTCCGCCTTTGAAGTTTGGAAGTTTAGTTGACAGTAAACAGCATAGTGATGATGAAGATACTACCATGGTAACACCAAGTGTACCAACAGATGGACCTAGAGTCCCTTTGAATGGTATGGTTACAATATCTGAGAGAGGAGATAATAGGTGTCCACAATAAGACACTGTTCATTTTTAATTCACCTTAATAAAGTTAAGGGGGTTATCAGAGTGCCAAAGGTGTGCAAGACAAGGTGCATGTGCCTGTCCAGTCACTTTTAGAGATAAATAACTTCATGACACTATAGATTGGTATTCAGATGCATCTTGGAGAGACTGACCATATGCCCTAAGATGAAGGTCACATTGCACTTATTACATGGTTCAGATTTTAAACTTATTTAAGTCAGCAAGAAATACATTTTAAATACTTGGGACTATATTCATGCACAACAGATGATAATTGTGTTCTTGGACCATTTGATAGAATTCATTCAATGTTTAAGCAGTTACTAAAAACTGTATCTTGTCCCAAAGCCATTACTTTACACCACTCTCCATGGTAACCATATTAACAGTAAAGTTGTGAATATTAAGTCTTTATTTTACACATAATATAACAAGGAATTATTGTGATGGTGATCTATTTATTGAGATGATAATCTATTTCACCATTGTATGTCTTTAAAGTATGGTTACATTATCAGCTAAAGTTTTGAGCTTGAGTAAATAATATAGGTTAATCCAAATATGGTAGGTACAATGTTGATTTTGATTTCATATTGATCTTTGAATAAGTTCTGGGTTTGTAATTAACAGTACAATACACAGCAAATTGCTGACTGTCATGCATGATTTGAAAGAACATCAACACTTACCTAAATTTTTTTTCATAAATTAATTATAAATTTCTTATATCTTGGGTCAATAAGGTTGTCAAGCGTAAATAGGTCAATTTGATTTTACATAGCAAACTTAGACTTTATAATATCTGCAAACATCACAATGGGGTTGGCAGTTTATATCTGCATGTCCTCCAAAATAACTGATAGAAAACCTTTCATGTACCTCATATTTTTGTCCCCTCCAAAACATGTAAAGGGCATAGAGATATTAGTTGTCTGTTCCTCCTGTCTTTAAAGTGCTCTCATATATACAATTCTTGCCAGATTTTTCTGAAATTTATATCATAGGTTTATATCAACACTGTCTCAGAGAATTCTGCAAATCAATGCCAAACAAACTATCTTTATATAGGAATAATTCCTATGCAAATATACATTCTATAGAAAATTGCATTATAAGTGTTCTTAAGTGAACAATTCTTATCAGATATTTATGAAATTTATATCAAAGGTTTATATCAACAATGGCTCTGACAAGTTTGAAAATCAGTGCCTATCAACTATTTTTAAAATAAAAGAGTTATGTCTCTTTTGTCAAACCTTCATTGAGTTGTCTGTAATATGGACAAAAGCTTCCTCATGATTAAGAGATAACAATGGAAGCAAAATTTTTAAGAAAATTTGTTAAAGTGTTTTCAGTTTAAGTTTTTACTGGACTCATTTTTGGAAAGATTGAACTCTTGTTCCAATTCTTTCCCAAGGCACCAACCTAAATAAGCAGGATGTAGCCAGGTTAGTTTTTAAATTAATACACAATTAGAATTATTTACTGAAAGTGTTTTATGAACTGGCTGTTTCTGTATTGGCCCTAGGATAGATTCTCTACCAGCTGTATTGGCCCCGACTCTTCAAGTCTCAGGGCTTGCCTAGCATCTATACCAAGAACAATACAGAAACAGCCAGTTAATAAGACTATAATATAAAAAAAACATGACTTTTTGTAACTTGGATAAATAAATTGATTGATATGTTTGATGGCATAAATATAATCAGTTCACAAAATAATCAAAATCAATATGTTTTGCTAGGTGGCCAGATGAACAGTAAGAAATCTCTATCTAATACAAACTATCAGTCATCTTTTTTCAAAATGCTAATTTTGTTTTTATCTGAATGACAATATCAATGCACGTGGCACAATAGTCATTCAACATTTATTCACACATCAGACCCATCAACATATGGAAATTTAATTCTGAAAAAGTATCCCAGACAAGTTGAAGTTTTGTTTCACACACAAAAGTACATATGAAATTTATAAAAATATAGATGGTAGGATGCAAGCTTGCCAAGTTGATAAAAACAAACTATTTGGAATGTGTAAAAAAAATACTGAAATGTTGATTTGTTTTGTTAACTTGAACCATGCACATACTATTATAAACTTGATTAAAAAGTACTAATTGGTAAGTTTTACACGATATCTCAACAATGTGTTTGTAGAAGTCTTAATTATAACAAAGAAAGAACAATATATAAATAGAAAATATTAATACTTTGTATACCAGAAGTCATAAAGTTGTAGAAAAAAGTCTTCAAATGACAACTTTTAGCTTACATATATAAAATACATAATTTGTGACAAAAAATTTAATTGGACAATACTGACCCACAGCTAAGACCTTTTATCGTTACAAATGTTTCATTATCATGAATTCATTTCATCTTACTTTAATCACAGTTAGTCATCAGATTTCTTTACACCTTTTAACATGTTTTGGTAATTCTTGTCTTTCTATGTAATATCTTATACTGTAAAGCATGGAGTGATTGTGTAATATTTTTTAGCAAAGCATGTTTGCTTGGTTTAATTCATTTAACAGACTATTTATCAGATAAAAACACTTTTTTTTTTAGTTTGTGTAATTAAAAATTAACTTTACATGCATAGTTAGAAGTTTGATAATTATGAAAATTTACAAAATGGTTGATGCAGAAAATTTAAAGAAAATTGAAAGTTTTTACTCCTACCCTCTTTTTATTGAATTCAGAAATGCAAAATACAGAGGTCGTAACATACTGTTAATGCATTAAAGTATAAAAGTTCTTTGTGTAACTCAATCATTTCAATGAAATGTTAAAATTTGTGAGTTAAAGTCATTTTCTTACATGAATTAGTTATACATTTATAGAAACAGCAGCCTATCGTAATTTGTTGTCTGGTACCATGAGTGGTCAGAAACAACCCAGTTACCATGATGATAATGATGATGATGAAGATGACACAGATGATGATGTAGAAAAACAGTTTGCATCTACTCTGTCTCCAAGAACACCAAGGGAGACATCTAGGTAAATGATGTCATTAAATACTTTTTTATTGTTGATATATATTTGTCGCTTTCTTATTACAGTTTATAAGAACTATTAGGGCTTTGTGGGCTATTATGCAATCACTTTGCATCTTTCAGATTTTTATCTGCTCATGTGAAAATAATAAACCACTATTTATAATAGTATTTTTATGAGTGAAAAGCAGTAAAAGTCACCAACAAAGTTTTTCTTTTCTATTTGATTGAACAAAAACTTAGTAATTATCTGAGAACAAGGGTTTTGATTGGTTATTTTTCGAAACATGATGCCAATGTTATTCAGGTATTCAAAATTGAACCAATTATTTATCTTATCTCATAATTATTGCATTTATGTTAGATGTTTATCTATATTTATTCTTTGATATAGTTATAGCAGTAAATGTAGATTTGCTAATTATTTATATAAATGATTAAAAAATGTAGCATTTCATGCAAAGTTAGGTACATGAATTCTATTTTCATGAAATCTTCATTCGATTCTAAACAAATCAGTATTTGTAAAAGCATCTGCAACAATGGTTTAGGTAGTTTATTTCATTTTCACACAAATTAAGGACATTTGAAGGAATTCATTTAAGCAACAAATTATATATACATGTATATAAAAGACAGATATCTATAAAATTCCACCATTTTAGATTTTAACAATAGAAATTAATCAACATAAATATAAAGCTACTAGTTCTACAGCAAGAATTCAGACTGAAGTTACAATATCCCCCAAAAAATATACAGTTGTATGTTCCATGACTGTTCTATACAACCAGAAAAAAAGATGATTTAACATACTAATTCAATATTGTTTCTTTTTTTCCCTTAGTTTTTCAAGTTTCATCATTATTTTCCTTCCTTGCTTTGCTTACTTCATTAATATGTCAACTTATGCTTGATTCTGCAAATGTAGTACTAGCTTACACAATTAAATAGACCACTTTCGAGTTATGTCCTTTACTGGAAAAGTTCGTCAATTATGTGTGCCTTCATGACATCAATTACCAGATAGAGGGGACCATCTGTTTCCCTGCACCTAAATTTCCTCAAGCGTCTTTGTGATCGTCTTTTTGCAAGATAAACTAGAAATAATGTTTGTTCCTTAGGTACTTTATCATAATTCCCTAATGACAGCAGTGCTGATTATCAATGATAAGAATTTAATTTGCCGAATAATTCATGCAATATAGCATCATATTTTTTTTAACCACTTGCTCAACATAATAAGGAAGTGAAGATGCCCCTAAATTCACAAATGATGTTTACTAAAACCAAAGTTTTTGACGGAAATGCAAACAAACTCGAAAGTGGTCTATTACCTTAGAGTTCTAAATTTCATTGTTGTTGAAATTTTGAAGGCTTGTGAGTAGTTTTAGTTTAGTGGGAATTTGAATAAACTAAAGTATTATCAATTGAAAACCAATATATACCCAACGATTTATTGTAAATGTAAATTTGTAATTTATCTTATTTCATCAATACAGTCTTACTTCTATTGCAATATTATTTATAGCAAAACAAATAGATATACTTTCGAAAACTGAATTTTACTTATATTGGAGTTAAATTTACCATGATTATTAAAATCATCTTACACAGAACCTCTCTTTTGTTCTCTTGCATTAAAAAAAGTTCTTTTATAATTTATATAGAATGGTTTGGCTTGTTATTTGTAAATTACTTGTTTAGAATTGATATGTTATTTCACTCTATATTCAGTCAAGACAGAGGAATTGTGGGTTAATTTCTCAAAAGCTTTTATCATCTATTTGACAGTGAACTATTTCCAATTATTTAGATTTTGCTTGCTTTGAAGAAGTTATTTCAAAAATGCTTTTAAATTGAACACTGTAGATGTTTCTTATATGATATAGATGTTAATTAAGAGTGAAATAACACCAGACCTTTTTTAATTGTATAGTGCTAGTGGAAACTCTCTTCCTTGAGTCTAAATAAACTTTGAGATAAAGCAAACAAAAATCTATATCTTTGTTATTGACATTACAAGCTTTACTCTATCAGAGTTAACTTATTTTTCTGAATTTGGATTTTATATGCATTTGATTATAAGAGAATATTAGCACTATACTTTCACAAATATGTAACTTTCCTCTTTCATTTATTTCTCACAATGGCTTTACAGTTCTATCCCACCTCAGCCTACCACTGCTATTATGTCACAATCTAGACCACCACAACAGATGGAGCCACTGTCTGAAACAAGTTCAGCAACATCACCAGTGTATGTGCCAACTGGCATGGAGAAAAGGTAACTAAAGCTCTGTGGCATTGAAGATTGATGATTCCTTGGGACATTGGTTATATAAAAATATTGTATTATTTTCTGTACTTCATTTTCTGACTGAGTGATTTTCTAGCATAACATGTCCTTATTAACTAATCAATAGATGTGGTGTGAGTTTCAGAATGCTTTATATATAAGATATAAACATATTTTCAACAATATGAAATTTATTGGTACTGATCTTAGAAACTTGCAGAAAATACGATTTATTGAAAACTGATATACCAATTTGATTGTTGTCCTTCTGGAATTTTCAACAAATGTTAAGGGAATATATTACAGGCAAAATGAATGAGAAAAAAAACATATACAATTAAATGACTTTAAATGAGATGAATAAACAAGTGAAACTGCGAGCTACTGCTCCCTGATGATACCCCCGCCCAAATATTTCGGTAAACAGGAAGTTGTTGAGAGATGAATCTGAAAACAAGTCACACAGTATAGCTGACTTATATAAACCCTGAAACCAGATTTCAGAAATCCTTGAATTGTAGTTCCTGAGAAAAATGTGACGAAAATTTTCAACTTGGCTTTCATGTGTAAAATGATACAAGTGTTCGGTAGACAGGAAGTAGTTGAGTGATGAATCTGAAAACGCATCACATGGTATAGCTGACTTATATAAACCCTGAAACCAGATTTCAGAAATCCTTGAATTGTAGTTCCTGAGAAAAATGTGACGAAAAATATTCATGGGACGGACGGACGGACGGACGGATGGATGGATGGACTGACGGACGGACAGACAGAGGTAAAACAGTATACCCCCACTTTTTTAAAGCGGGGGTATAAAAATATATATTATCAAAAGGATAATGTATTTTCTGAGGCAAAAGTAAAGGTTGATAAGATTTTGACATGATTTAACAATCCTAGTATCGACAGAGTAGAGTCATTGTTTTATTATATAACATATTTAAGTGTTTGTTATACGCCTAGGAAAAGCTTTAATTACAGTGTTATCATTGATTTCACTGTGTGCTAAATGTTATCATTACACTTATGGTCCTACATCCTAAGGGTACTTATATTTTGGCATTGCACAAAGTAAGGTTTTTCTCAGACTATTATGTGTTACACATAATCCTTTGGAGGTGTTCTGATTGACATTAAAGTCTGGGGAAATAGGGTTTATTAAAGTCTCCCAAACCTTATATTTTTTGCTCAGTTCTTATTATTATTATTCTTCTTCTTCTTCTTCTTCTTCTTCTTCTTCCTCTTCCTCTTCCTCTTCCTCTTCCTCTTCCGCCACTTTTAAATTTGAACTTGTCCGCACCCGTTCTCCAAAACTGCTTGTCAGATTAACTTAGGGTTTCACAATGTTAGACTAACATGTCTAGTGGTGCAATCAGGGTTTTGTTTGTGCAATAGGGTTTATAAAGGGGTACTTTGAGGGGCGAAAAGAAAGGAGGGTTTTACTATAGAACCCTATGGGATTTTATTTTTTTAAATTTTCAAATGATTATAAATTGAAAACCGTTTGTGATAGACACAATCTTTTTAATTGAAAATGTTCTAAATGATAAAGCACATTAAATGAAATACAGGGTTAGTCCCCAGGGGTCACCCCCACCCCCTGCCATTTAAGAAAGTTCTAATACCTTGTAAGTGGTCAAGATCCCCACCCCTAAACCATATATATTCTGGTTTGTCATGCTAAGATGGTTTGAATGATATACAGGGTTAGTCCCCAGGGGTCATCCCGACCCCCTGCCATTTGAGAAAGTTCTTATATCTTGTAAATGATCGAGATCCCCACCCCTAAACCATATATATTCCTGTTCATCATGTCTCGAACATTTGAATGACGTATAGAGTCAGTCCCCAGGGGTTCCCCCCCCCCCCCACCCCACCCCACCCCACCCCCAATGTTCTAGTATCTTGTAAGTGGTCGAGATCCCCACCCCTAAACCATATATATTCTGGTTTGTCATGTCAAGTCATGTCAAGATGATTTGAATGATATACAGGGTTAGTCCCCAGGCATCACTAATGCTTATAACTTTACCAAACCAATTTTCACTGGACTTTGCCCAATGTCAGATGAGCCTGGGAATTACGAATTATGGGAGCTTCGTTTGGGAGACTTCGTAACAGCATCCTGTTACAATCATTTCTTGTTTATTTGTTGAAATTGCATTTGAACTAGCTTTTAGTGACTGTGTGTACTCTTAGATTGGAAATTTGTGTTTTCTGTCCTTTTTTTTACAGCACTCTCCAAATGATTTTTACAGTTTTTATGCCCCCGCTCTGAAAAGTGGTGGTTTACTGTTTTACCCGTCTGTCCTTCCATCCATTACCTTAAATTTCTATTATATTTTCCTCAGGAACCACAAATCAGAGCTTACTGAAATATGTTATTGCTTCATGTCAGCATGCTATATTGTGTGACAGTGATGCAATATTCAGATTCATCGCTCATCAACTTCGTGTTTACAGAATACTTGTAAACTAAATTTTGAAATTATTGCAAGCATTTATTATTGCAATTTTTGCAGAATGGACAATAATGAGAGATTAATTATTGCAATTTTGGCAAAAGCTGCATATAGATATATCATTCAGATATCAGAACTAGAATTCTTATTATTTAGATACTCACCCAGTCACATTTTTCGCATTGATAAAAAACCTCACGTTAATTTCTGAATTTACAATATTCTAAACATAATGGCCATGTATGAAATTTTCATCAAATTTTTCTAGGCAACTACAAATGAGAGCTTCCTGAAACTTGTTTTTGGCTTCATTTCAGCATGCTTCACACTGTGACATGGTTTCAATTTCATCGCTCAATAACCTCCTGTTTACCAAATTCTTAGATGTTCTAAAGATAATGGTCATGTATGAAATTTTTGTTGCATTTCTCTAGGGAACTACAAATAATAGCTTCCTGAAATTTGTTATAAGGACAAATGCCAGCATGCTATATACCATGTGACACAGTTTCAGATTCATTGCTTGTCACTTTCCTGTTTACCAAATACTTATATATTCTAATCATAATGATCATATATGAACTTTGAGTCACATTTCTCTAAGGAACTACAAATAATAGCTTCCTGAAATTTGTTATCAGGCTTTGTGTCAGCATGTTATTAAATGAGATTTCAGAATCATTACTTATCAACTTCCTGTTTACCAAATACTTATAGATGCATATTATTCTTTCACATACACACCATGTATGAAATTTTTGTCCTATTATTCTTGAGAACTGCAAATAACAGCTTTCTGAAACTTGTTATCAGGCTTCATGTGTACATGCTTTACCCTGTGATGAGTTTTCAGATTCATTTCTTTTCAACTTCCTGATTACAAAAAACTTAAAGCGAGGGTATCATTAGTGAGCTATAGCTCACAGTTTTACTTGTTTCTGATGTTGTGCTGTAAAACCACTCTCCCAGGTTGAGGGGGAACATTTTAAACATTTTGTCTTCATGGGGTCTTTTATAGCTAACTAAATGTTATGGGTTTTGTTCATTGTTGTAGGCCATGAGGTGACCTGTTATTGTTCACATCTTTGTTCTTTTTTGTGGTTCAAATTGATAGTTGTCTCATTGGCAATCACATCTTCTTATTTTTCATATTTATGATACATTATAAGAGGTAGACATTGTATCAGAGAAATTTACTATGGACCATAGCCAATTAAAAAAAATGAGTAGCTGAAATCTTGTTAGCAGAGCGATATTTGTTATTTTGCATGTAGCAATCCTACTCTGCATAAAACAGATTTCTGAATTCTCAAATACACATTTATTTTTCCTTAATAAAGGGTCAAGTATAAAATTGAGTGTTGTATGAATAAATAAATGTGTATGTACATCAAAATATATTTTCATATACCTGTATATTACTTCTGCACTTCAGCCAGTAATAGTGTTACACAACACAACCCATGTACCCTTCACTTCACTACACATTTGCACCTGCATGGCTGTACATGCACTCAAGTTTAAAATGGTATAAATAACAAAAAGTATGAGTTAAACATGTTTAGGTCAACTGGTCCCAATATTAATGTATTATTTGATCCTGGTTTAAATTGTCATTCTAGGGTCATAAAGAAAATAAATTTGATTGTAAATTTGGAAGTTTTGGCCATGGTCATATTTGGTTTATTTGGCACCAATTAAACCAAAATATGACAATGACCAAACTATACAAGTTTACAATGTAGAAAATAAAGATTAATCTTCCTCAATGACTGAAGTTAATAAGATATTGACAGAGCTACTTTTAAATTACATGTTAGTGATACTTTTAGATGACATGGTAGTGATATTTTAGGTTATCGGTCGTCCCACTGTCTATATCACTCTGCTCAGCTCTTAATAAAATTGCACATCATGGCTTTGTGACGTCCAATACGTTGACCTGGCCTTAATAACTTTGACCCGGACATATCAGCGACGTTATAATGTATGAACCGTTGTTGATAAGATTGACCAGAACTTATCAAGTCATCTTCTGGTTTGCTGGTGAAACAAAGAAAACACTTGTTTCTTTCAAATAAAATACGCAAATACAACCCGATAAATCGATTATCTGGTTGTCTGCATATTTGTATTGTAAAATATCGGCTGCTCGACACAATATGAAGCCTTTTTGAACTCGTTCACTGCGCTCACTTGACAAAATGCATCATATTGTGACTCACAGCTGATATTTTACAATATCAATATGCAGGCAACCTGATAATTGGTACTGAAATGGTAGTGATATTTTAGCTGACATAGTAGATATTAGGTGACATGATAGTGATATATTAGGTGACATGGTAGTGATATATTAGGTGACATGGTACATGTAGTGATATATTAGGTTCCATGGTAGTGATATTTAAGGTGACATGGTAGTGATATATTAGGTGACATGGTAGTGATATATTAGGTTCCATGGTAGTGATATTTTAGGTGACATGGTAGTGATATTTTAGCTGACATAGTAGATATTAGGTGACATGATAGTGATATATTAGGTGACATGGTAGTGATATATTAGGTGACATGGTAGTGATATATTAGGTGACATGGTAGTGATATTTTAGGTGACATAGTAGATATTAGGTGACATGGAAGTGATATATTAGGTGACATGGTAGTGATATTTTAGGTGACATAGTAGATATTAGGTGACATGGTAGTGATATATTAGGTGACATGGTAGTGATATTTATGTGACATTGTAGTATGGGATTTATTTGGTGCATTATACCGACACTTATTTAATCTATCTAATAAACTGAATGTAGAAAATCACCAATTTTTTTTATTGAATATTCATGACTAATATTACAGTGGTAAATCTGACGCTGGTTCTACAGGGAGATCAGAGAAAATGCAGCCATTCAAAAGACCTGCAGCAGGTAAGAAAATACAAATTTGTATTTACCGTTAATAGAAGATGGAGAACAAACTTACAGATAGTATCAAAGTGCTTCAAATTCAAATTCAAATCTTTAAGGTCACTACAGACAATTTTTCAGAAAAATTAGTTCCTCTTAGTTCAAAATTTATCTTAGTAATTTCAGCAAAAAAACTGAAGTTGTTTATAATATTTATTACCATTTCATTATTGGTTGTAGTTAAGTGTGCTACATGTAAACATATAGCTCTCCATGTTTCATAAATTTCTGTCAATCAGAGGTGAATGATCACATTTTCCAATGTACTGTGGATTCATTAATATTCGTTGGATACCAATATTCGTGGTTTTCGTGGGTACAGATAAACCACGAATTTAAATGTTAAACAAATTACAAGTTTTCTATCAGGTTGCTTGCAGACTTTGGCAAAACCACGAAATCATATATCCACGAAAAGGCAAGTTTTCCGCAATTCACGAAAATTGGTACCCACGAAAATAAATGAATCAACAGTATTCAGTTGTAATTTCTGCATAAGAATTGATATTTCTATACAAATTTACCTGACATAAACATGCTAGTTTCATCCACAAATGCCTTGATACTTTGGGGCATCTCCAAACTTATGGAGGAAATGATTTTTATAAAGCTAAACTTATTTGTCATGTTAGTTTAATGGGAATTTTTTCTTTTACAGTTGTAATGATAAGTTCAGATTTGGATTCTGAAACAGATTTAGATATCCTGATGGAGAAAAAACAGACATCACAAGAAGAAGATGACTTCTTTGATTTTTATGAATAGTGATTTATTTATTTGTAGAATCTTCATATATTTATTATTATTACTTTTAAAGTATATAAATATTCTTGCATATCAAAATTACACACATATCAGTGATTTATTGCTGAAATACGTAAGTGTATGTACATTGCTATAAACTACATTCCTGCCAGTCCTAAATGGTAACAGATGTCTTCTTTACAAAGTTCCAAAGGGTGTCTCCCTTTACGAGAGATGGAGAAGTTATTGAAATATTAAAAACTTAAAATGAATTATTCCAATATTTTTTCCCCAAAGCAAGTTTTTTATAAAGGTAGACTAGAAGTTTAACTGGGTTTTGTTTACCAAAGAACTATTTTTCAGAAGAGGGTTGGTGTAATAAAAAATAATAATAAAAGATATTCCTTCATAAAACAGAATGTAAAGAACATAGTAATACTTGTCAAAAAGGAAACAAGTGCTAATTCATACTGAGTTCTTCCCTCCCCTTCCCAACAGCACCCACATATAATAAACATCAAATTTTCATACAATAAAAAAAATTAAACAGACACAAAATTATGTGAAAAGCAAGGTTGTAATTCAATTACATAGAACCTTATGATTTTCTTGATTTTATACTTGAAAATGACAAATTTAAGGCATTTCTGCCCATAATTTAATATTAATTACTCCTTCTTGTTAGCAAAATCCTGATTCTGCCCTATATTTAAGAATTTTGTAGATCTTGAATTATAATTTTTTTTTTTTGTGTGGGTATTTCTAATATTTTTGGGATATTGCTTTTTATTGGTTTAGGAATTGAAGCATACCAATTACTTATGTCACTACAATTTGGTTCAACCAGATTATTACATCTAGCTCATTTCCTGTTTAGTTTGTTAAATATTTAAGTATCCGTCCAATGATAATGATTTAGTTTTTCTAGTCTGTCATATTATATCCTTAAATGTATCTTTTCTTTTTTATTTATTATATTAAAACATAAAACTAATACTTGTTTTTATATTGTAATGAAATAAAAATGGAACATGTGTTGCTCTTTGTCATTCAAATATTTCAGTTCGTTAATGTTGGGGAGTGTCCGTTTTTGAAGATGCATATAGACCTAAGTGAGCGACACAGGCTCTTTAGAGCCTCTTGATTTAGTCTGAAATTATTAGTTATTATTTTTTTCAATCTTGTAAAAAGAATGTTGATTGTGTGAATAAGAAGGTTAGGGTATTGCAAAAAGTCTTGTTTTTCTATACCGTACATAGCATTGCTGTATGGAAACTACTTGGACATATAGCTGCCAATATAAAAGTGAATGAGTTACATTCACAATTTCAGTTACACTAGATTTAGTACTTTGAGCTCATTGTCAGTAATTTCCAGCGTTCTTTGAACCTCAGCTTAATAAGGGTAATAAAATAAATCAATATTGTTTATTTTTAAACACAAAGTGAAATATTAAAACTAAAATATACAATAAAAAAGATGATTTTAACTGTGCCATCACAATGAAACAAACTGACATTTGAATACTTTCAAAACATTTTACAGTCATCCACATGTTTGCACAGTAGTATCTTACTATAAAAATCCTTTGTTTCTCTTTAAAAAAAAATTGTCAGTATTTCTTGCCTTTACCATCTTATGTAGTGTCGTAAATACTAGTAGAACTCAAACATTGAAAAATTATATATTTAAACTCTGGGAAAGTTGTTACATCTACAAACAGCATGGGATACAGGGGTGATAAACAAACTAATTCACTTAAAATGGTCCTTTTTGGATGGTCAGATAACAGGCCTCTCAAGTACTGCCTATTTCAATTGTACAATATGACACCCGTTTTCCAAGTGCTGCAGCTTTCAACAATACCATAGTATTATAAATCACTGATTCAACCAATAGCTGTTGATACCTTAGACTTAGTTAGCTTCCTATAGTACCAAGTACATTTTGACCCTGCTTTCCAAATCCTTTGACCACCTCTGTGGTCTTGTGGTAGCAGGTTTGCCTCAAGTGCAGGAGGTCTTGGGTTTGAAACTTGGCTGGGTCAAACCAAAGACTTTAAAATTGGTATTTGCTGCTTCTCTGCTGAGCACGCGAAATTAAGGAGTAAGAGCAAAGACTGGGCAGCTCAGAGTCAGAATAATGTCTGGGTAAGGTGATATGTCTTCTTGGGGACTGTTACCTTGTGAACTAGCACGTTAAAAATCCAGCTCAGCATGTCAGTCTAGTACAAAGCAAGGTTAATATTCATATTACATTAACATGTTCTCGTCCTGAATATGCATATTAATTTGCCGCTGGACGTTAAGCAGCCATTCATAATCATAATCATCCAAATCATTTGCTGCCTTTTATTTTCTTGATCAAGTAAGTGGTCATCCTGTTGATAGCTGGGCTGTGCAGTTTTTTTGTCTCGTCTACCAGAAAGATGCAGAATGTGAATCCTAGGGGCTACAATCTGGTGAGGCGGCGGCAGCTTTACATAGAGGGTAGAAGACCTGGATGCTTCCTACCTTGTATGCAGATGTCCTATGTAACACATTTTCCGTCTGTTATATGTCCATTGTCTAGGACCTCATTTTCATGGTTAAAAGACTGCTTGAAAAAAATTTTGTCATGTGAAATACTCACTTATTACAAGGATTTGTATAGTATACTATACAAATCCTTGCTTATTATGAGTAATTGAATAACTATATTTGGTATATGGGATCCTTGCCATTAGACAAAGTTTACCTGACATCGACCTTATTTCATGCATCAGTGATCCAGGTGAAGTCTGTATCTCAGATACTATAGGCAATAGGTCAACATATTACTATATTTGGTGTGTGGAATGATTGTAAGGTCTTCATGTAAGACTGGCAGGTTTCATCTGACCTTTACCTCATTTTCATGGTTCATTGGTCAATGTTAAGTTTTTGATGTTTGGTCTGTTTCTCTGATACTATAAGGAATAGATCAGTTGTATTTTGGTGTAAGGCAGTGGCAGATCCAGAACTTTTTGTAAAGGAGGGGGGGGGCGTTCCAGTCATGCTTCAGTGATTCCCTATATAATCGACCAAATTTTTCCCACAAAAGGAGGGCCCCCTGGATCACCCTATGTAAGGTGCAAGGTGTAAGAGGGGGCCCGCTCCAGTCATGCTTCAGTGATTCCCTACATCATCAACAAAATTTTTCCCACAAAAGTGGGGCCAGGGCCCCCTGCCCCCCCCCCCCCCCCCCCCCCCCCTAAATCCGCCTCTCAGGTGTACATGTCTATCTCGAGCTGCTTGTACCAATACTTTTCAGAAGAGTCGAATGTTGGTGGTTGATGTTATCTGTTTTGAACTGTTCAATATTTTTGGTGATTGACATTATCCATGGACATGGTATTGTCAGTTATTCTTGTACTTTGTAATACAGGTATCATTGACGTATGTGCTTTGGGGGCTGATTTTATTGTTCGTTAAGATATGGAACTAAATTAACATTGCCACATGTTTCCTGTGTTAGGATCCTTGTGGGTTGTCACGTATGAAAGGAAATGATTTTGGGTGGATGTACCTGAGACAAAAATACTCGGACATAACTAGTATATCACAGGATATGTATTACCATAACATCGAGGATAGTCCAAGAGAAGTCTAAGCTGTACTCCATGATATCTTTAGAAAATCTCTACATATTTTGTTGAATAAACAGATGAAGGAGTTGCCAATAAACTGTATATAAGACTGGTGAAATCCGTCTTACAAATTTTGAAAATTGAAACAGGCGAAATGCATTCATATATTGTAATTACGAACAAGTTTGCCTCAAATGAGATATGATAAAGAAGTAATAAACCACAAGTGAATGGCAGTTGATCTCATTCTCTCGTATTTATAACTAAATGCCGTTGAATTGGACCGTCTTAAACGCTGCTTTGATACACCGATATATTATAGGATGGTCATCTTCTTCTTCCGAATACGGGAGTAGACTCCTAGGTAGGAGTGTAAAACTTCATTACACTGGGTACTAGACAACATTTCTACTATTGTGGTGAAGATAAGCTTAATGTTATCTGATATATCTAAACAAAATTGCAATTTTGTAATAATTATCGCACTTTTCGAGAAACATGCATTTGGTTTTTGGTTCAAGTTTCATATGAAATATACAATTGTCCACTTTCCAGGTCAGTATTATTTTGCTATACTGCAAATGTGAGTAAGTGTTAAAAAAAGATTATCTTGTTTTGTTAGTTTACACCTAGAATCAGATTTCAATAGTAGATAACACGCTTCAAGATGCATCCACCCAGAAACAGTGGCCGAAGTTTGCATAAACATCTGGGACAATCTTGTATAATAGTAAGTAGTATGTAACTTGTATAAATGTATATGTCAAACTTGTCTTGCCTCTGTGCACAAAATATTGATTCGAGAAAGTAAAAAATTTCTTGCATGCAAACTTTAGCGCAAAAAAATACATTTCATTACACACAGGTTAATCACACGACTATAGTATGACAAATTCATTCACTGTCATATGAATATCCTCTAAAACTATTTATATGAATATGACTTACACGTATACTTTGGGGGTAGTTTTCATTTTTTATTTTATATCTCTTTCAAAGATAATTAATGAATAGCGTGAGAAATACTAACTTTTTTGTAAAACTCACATCCATATTCAACATGATACAGGACAAAAACTACGTCATGTACCCACTTAAAGTAGATGATATACTTGTCTTATGTGATTCACAACAAAACGCTTGTGCAGATTCGGGACTTCTACTTCCGTGCGAATAAATATGTTTGTATTTCCGATAGTTAATAAGATGAGGATATAAAAACTAAGATGTAGGAAATAGTGAATTAAAGCTTATATGATAGTGATACGACAACAACCTATAGTTTTATACTAACAACAAGAGGTATAAACAAATTAAAAACAACAGAGAGCGTTAAAAATGAGGAAAATATACATTTTAGATTATGCTGTAGATGTTGACTGTAATCCAGTTTTACTGGCAACGTTTATTTGTATTGTGGTGGTTTTAGTATGGCAACGTGTTATAAGTAGAATGAACTCTTTGCCGGGGCCACGCCGTTGGCCTGTCTTAGGCAACATACCTGCACTGGCTGGTTCTCAAAGTCTTTACAAAAGATTACTGGAGTTAAGAAAAGACTACGGTGACATCATTCAGTTACGAATGGGACCTTCCATGAATCTTGTGGTAGTTTTCGGTCAAGATTTGATTAAAGAGTTACTTGTAGATAATGCAGATAAAACAGAATTCAGACCAAATTGGCTGTATGTTCCAGACACAATGTTTAACAAAACAGGTACTACTAGTATACAATATGGCCTTTATTAAATTTTATACACAAGACCAGTTATTATCTTAACTTTGGAGTAAAAATAAGGACTTCTATATTCCATCGCTAAACCTATATTATATAGCAACATTCAGACAACAGTTGAAGACGGAATATATATATTGCCCAGTAATACGATGTACAGATATTTCAGAGATCATCGGGTATTTTCTTTTATGCTTCATGAATGAGTTTTTTTAACTAAATAATTTACAGAGGTAATGTAAATCGTCCACAAGGTTCTTCGCAAAAGGTAAAGGTAACCAACCGTCCACAAGGTTCCTCGCAAAAGGTAAAGGTAACCAACCGTCCACAAGGTTCTTCGCAAAAGGTAAATGTAATGTCAACCGTCCACATGGTTCTTCGCAAAAGGTAAAGGTAACCAACCGTCCACAAGGTTCTTAGCAAAATGTAAAGGTAATCAACCGTCCACAAGGTTCTTCGCAAAAGGAAAAGATACATGTAACCAACCGTCCACAAGGTTCTTCACAAAAGGTATATGTCAACCGTGACTTGTAAAGTCGTCCGATTATAACTTCGCTGTCTATTACACAAAATTGTGTCATTGATTTGTACATGTGACCGGCGACATGATTAGTGCCACTGATAAGATAGGAACTGCATGTCTTTTTCTGATCATTCGAGTTTATTCCTTGCATTCTAGTGGGGTCTGGCTTGCGGTGCTCGCCTCTTTAGTTTTTCATGTTATATTAATTTTTTTCCCGTTTGACCTCGTTGTAATATGTTCTTTAATATATGAGTTCGGCGGTCGGACTAATGATGTGTTGTATTCGGATATTTTAGTTGATTAAGCAATATGTTGCCCCTTGCTATCTTCTTACACAACTGCTGGTGGACTATCAGTTCCTGAGAGTACTAAGCCATTTCTTCGGTATTGGCAAGTTTCAAATAACACATTTTGTCTCTCAATATTTAAACATAAAATCATGTTATTGTGAAAAGGCTGAGGTTGCAACTCTCTGGGGCAAAGTCTCTTCGACGGTTTCCTGCTGTTCTGTTGAAGAAAGTAGAAATATATATATATATATGCATGATTTTTAGATAAATACAACTTAAAAAATTAAATAGTAGGAAATATTCAATCCAATAACAAAGCATATAGTAACAACTTAGTCAGTATAGTAATGCTGAATCATGTATGTTGTAGGAATAATTTGGAGCAATGGAAAACACTGGACTCACCTCCGGAAATTTGCTATTCACGCATTGAAAGACTTAGGGGCAGAAAAGTCTAATCTTGAGCAGACCATCCAAGTGGAAACAAACTTCTTAATAACTGCTATGTGTAAAGAAAATAATGCACAGATGGATAAACTTCTTCCTAAAGCTGTGTCAAATATCATTTCAAATATAGTTTTTGGTTCCAGGTATGTATTTGCATTTTGGGAAACTTGGTGGTCAAACGATAATTTTGATAATTATTTACATATTTTGAGTAGCAAAAGCGCTGACCGAACGTAAACTTTCAATGTAAAATTACTAATGTAGATAGAAGTAAAGATTTGTATGTATCGTTATTAGTTCTGACAAAAATTTGAAATGCACGAAACGGAGTGTAAGCACTTTGCATCAGGACACACCAAATTTTATATTATAAATAGTATTAAATACCATGAAATACTGCATAAGAGCTCTTTGTTACTTAACAATTGATATTTACTCGTTTGTCTTCGTAGGTTTGAATACAACGACTCTGACTTTGAAATGATACTTAATGTACTGGAGTATATCTTCAAACATGCTGGCCTTCATCTTCCGGAAAATTTCATGCCAATTTTAGCAAATTTAATGCCAAATTCTGAGGTAAGATTATGCCTACGTTGTATTTATTCATATGAATCTATATAACGTATTATATCATAGGTAACCAAAAAGAAGCATAATTATAACCGCTTATAAGGCCAATGTTATCTGAAGGATATAAGGAGTTGGGACCAAATTTTGAGAGAACAAATTAAAAAAAAATATCCTTATTTAGTATATTCACCATATATCTTAATTGACCATTGAAGTTGTCTGAGCTCGAAAATTAACATTAGTGTTAATTAATGTTTAATGAGACACTTTTTTGGAATAACGTTCTGATCGCAATAATATCATTTTATTATCTCAGGCTAGAAGTTGTTTCGAAGAGAAGGAAAAAATAGACGACTATGTGAAAAAGCAGATAGAAAAACACAAAGAAAACTATAATTCATCTGAAACAAGAGATTTCATAGATATATACCTCCATCAGCTCTACAGTGAAAATGAAAGTAACATACCAGGTAAGCGATTTTAATTCACATCAGAGCATACAGCATAAGTTTGGGGGTAAAATGGTAGAGGATACCAAGGAGATAATTACCATAGGTATGTAAGAAAAACACAATACCATAAACGTGCAAATTATTTATATTTTAACAACTCTCTTAAAAAACCAACCCATGTAAACTAGAATATACCAACTGTACCACGTTGATTGAATTACATGTATGTTAAAGTTGTAATTTGGTAAGGAAACCCAGGATGCAGCTCTTTGAATACCCATCCTCCTTTTACTGACTATCAATATTGCGCAAATGATATCATGTCTCTATAAAACATCAGAATTTCGTTTACGAATTAAAGGAATTAAAATTTTCCGTATATGGCAAAGACAAGAAAAGAAGTTATAAAGTATTTTCCTTTTTTTGATCTTGTTTATTTGTTTTTGTTCCTTTACTTGTTCTTAAATATGTATGAAAGATATGTTTACGTGAAGATAACTGGTACATCTGATTTCAGAAAGAAGTTTATTTCATATGATATTTGACCTATTTGCTGCTGGTTCAGAGACAACATCGACAACATTATTATGGATTATTTTGTATCTTATAAAATACCCAAGTGTACAAGACCTCTGTAGAACAGAAATTACGACGGTAGTGTATATATTGATTTAAAGATAAAATACTGAAATTGTCCTCAAATTGGGTTTTTATTCATAAAAAGCAACTGTCACTACAAATATCAAATACTATATCTAGGAATACTTGAACGATGAAGGAACCAACATTAGGGGATTGTTTAAGACTATGCATTAGATTAGTTTAAATTGCCATATATAGGCATGATCTATGTCCGACACCTAAACTCAAAATATATTGTTTACATTTTATATCCCTGTTGGTCTTTCCTCTCAATTTTCCATTGTTGTGTAAGATACTAGAATATTCTATTGTATTAAGTTCACATGTTCAGAAAAGTGTGTCGGTGAATTATATCTATATATAACAATTACAAAAAATAATCTGTGCAATATACAGTATCCTGTTTGAATTTGATATCCTTTTTGCTCTAAAATGAATATATGTAACCACACTTAAATTTGACAATGCAAGTAGTCAGTTTGAACTCTTCGTAAATAAGCTGCTTTATATAAAGACTAGCGGCTTTATATGTTTTTCCTCCATTATAACATATTTTATTTGCTATTACGTATAGTAAAAGGGATCAGATACAAGCTACTACAACAAAGATAGTCCTATTCTGCTTTATTTTAAGACAATGCTAAAAAACTGATAAAAACCTTTGTTTGTAGGTTGCAGGTCTAAGACAAGTGTCTTACGCAGATAAAGATAAAATGCCCTACACTTTAGCAGTTATAGACGAAGTGCAAAGAATAGCTAGTATAGGTACATAATATATAATATAAATGAAAAAGGAAGATACATTAACTTTTAGCAAACTGTACTATTGACAAAAATTTTCGATTTGGAGAATGTACATAACTTCAGAATGAAAGAAAAAAAAAACCAGCAAGCAGTCGAATCCCTCTAATTGACAAAATATTTGCTAAAAAGAATGAACGCTTTAATGACCATGGCAGGACGGTATAATCGGAGTTCTTAGTATGACAGCGAACAGACCATACAGGTTGTGAACTATGGATTATCAAATAAAATGATATTGGCATGGCATGAGCGTGGTGTTTTTCTCACAAAATGGCTTTGTTTTTTAAATTGTGACTAGTAAGACATACTAAAAATATACATGATTGTCCAGTAGTAGAGTGTAAATGAAAAACAAGTTTACAATAAGCTAAAAAGGACTCAAGTTTATCAAATTTAAGACAAAGAGTAAAATTCTTACTGAAATAAGATAGCGTTGACTAGAAGAGTCGATTGAGGTTTATTTTTTAAATGTTTACAGGTCCAATTGGTTTACCAAGAGCCTGTATGGAAGATGTGAGCATATCTGGTAGAATTATCCCTAAGCACTCCGTCATCATACCACATTTTATGTCAGCACATTATGATGAAAAGTATTGGGAAAATCCCACAGAATTTCAACCAGAAAGGTTTCTAACAGATGATGGAAAACATATCAAACATCACAAAGCATTTCATCCATTTTCTCTTGGTACGTATTTTTGTTATAAAAGCATTTACTTTTTTCGTCCCATAAGAGACAAAACTACACAAAGCACTTATGGGATTTGGCTTCTTTCATACGTTTTTTGTATTACAGTTCTGTTTGCAGTGCGTTTTTGTGGAAGAGTAAATGAATGAAATACATATGAAAATGGCAAAGTAGAACAAAAGTATATAGTCACAATTACTGAACAGAAAACTTTTCTTTAATTCGTCTCTTATTAATTACATGTAATTATTTCTTCTTTGAAGGATCGAGGACATGTATAGGAAAGAATGTTGCTGAAATGGAACTATTTCTTTTCACTACAACTCTAATTCAACGTTGTAGACTGCAGCATGCCACACCATACGAGCCATTAGATATGGAGGGTGTCCAGTCTGGTATCACACTCCTCCCTAAACCATACAAAGTTCGCATCAGAGACAGATCATGTTCCTTGGGAGTAGAAAGACAAATATCTATTTACTGATGTAAATAAGTACAATGGAATAAATGTTCACAGTAACGACAGCTGTTTGCATGACACCATATACATAAGACCAGATATATGATATGACTGGTTCGTCCAAAATAGTTATACGTATATACATAGTGCGACTGTTGTTTAACTGTAATAAAATCTAACCGGGTGCAAAACGATTTAATTTGAACTGTTAAACTATACTATAATATACACAAAGATTAAGTCATAGCTAAAACTAATACATAAAGAGTTATCATTCCATTCACACAGTCACGTCTCAGCCATTACAGCTGACCGAACGTACCAGGTCAGCTCCTGTTTACACGCTTGTCACTAGATGTACCTTTGATAGCTGGTTAGCTAGGGTGTATGACATATTTGTCTGTGACTACTGAAATCTAATTCAACACCGTACAGTAAAGTCACCTGCTGATAGCAGAGACAGCCAGTGTGGTTGTGTGAGTATATGTGTTCAAAGCCATCAGAGGATCCTATATCCGTGGTGATAATAGACCTGCCATTTAACTGTCTGGTTACCAGTTTGACAAGACTGTCTGCAATTATCCCCGTCAATGTCATCTACTCATTTATCCGTTTAGTTGCATCGACATGGCCAGTTAGTGGGATGCCCTGGCCCCGAAAATAGCCGTGGTTAATAAATCTTCAACAAGTCACGCGACACCTAAACATCACAATACAAGGCTGGCAACTTATTACCACAACATTGTGATAACGCATCGACAACTATAGAAGCAATAGTGCGTAGGCAGCAAATCATAAAATAAAGCTAAGAACCGTCCGACTTAAGTTGTTCTTTAGGACGTCAATCTCACTGTCCAACTACCACTTCATGAAGAGCCATTATACAACATACTGGCTAAAAAGAAACAATAGTTTATAGCGTTGTATCGAGAATAAGAATATAAACATAACTAACTGTGTGTGTTTTGACAAAGACGAGGAATGTTCTTATCATATGTCTAACATATTTTATAGAAAGTATTGTGATTAAAAAATTTAAAAAGTAATACTTATTATCTGTCTCGCCGGGAAAATTGACCTTAGATGAAATTGCCCATTCTCCTTTAGGTTACATCTGTTCATATAGCTCCTAATTTTTTAAAGTATTTATACATCCCTGGCTTTTAAATGTTGAGGTTTGAGCATCCTAATGATTGTAAATCCAGAAAAGCGCATAGGACGCACACAATTTATGAAATGTTTTTTTTTTCCATTTAGTATGTACTTAACTTGTTTCAATTTCTGTTATCTAGGAGCCCAATGTTAGTACTAAAAGCTATATTTCCTGAACAAAGTTCTGTGGGACCGTACTTTTTAGGGAGCGACCATTTTATTTTCTAGGAAAAAAAGGCAGAGGAGGATTTTTCATGCGGAGTTTTCATTTTCACCTGTTGCTACGGGACAATTTATATTCACTTTTGTACACAATAATAACCTGCATGTTGTGGGCAGATTATTCCTTTTCTTTCCTTTTTGGACAAGATTATTTTTTTCAGTTCTTACCAGCCAAAATATGTCCCCAACCCACATCAAATGGTCGCCGTCCCTTATTGTCTTTGTAAAGTAGACTATTTTTGTTTGAAACTTCTTTAAAGCGTATACATATATATTTCTATTATTACAGAATGATTTGTTTTTATTGTTTTAACTCATTAAAGGGTTACATAATCGTTATCCGCAATTTAGCACACACATTATGCAATGCTGCTTCTTGTTACAGGATAGGCAATCACCTAATTTGGTGGTATATCGTAAACGTAAGTTCCTGTTACCAACAACCTACTGACATAAGTAAAACAGTACTTGTGAAAAGTTCTTGATGTCGGATTTTTTGGAAAGAGAAAAAATGTACTGAATATTATGAAATTGTATCTTAGACAACTTCCGTTGATCTGAGTAGTCTCAAGCTTTGATGGAGGTAATTTTTTACTACTTTTGCAAACAAATGTTTAGAGGTTTTTTTCGGTGCATGGAAAATTGACAAACAATCTACCAATACACAGAAAGGAAATATAAATATGTTTTCTTTCTCTAGAAAACCACTATATGATTCACGAAAAAAAAGCTTCAAATTTTATCCATACATAAAATTAATATTCGAAAAATCCTTCTCAAAATGACAACAGGAGAGACAAAAAATGCCCCACCCATCGAAAAAGGCCCCACATCAGCTACAAAATAAAAAAAAGGAACAATAAAATAGTACTACAGATTTGTATCCAGTTTTGAAGAAAAACAATTCAACTAAAATATATTGAGGGAACTTCCTCTCTTTTCCGAAGCTACTAAGACCTTCTGGCCTGTGTTAAATTTGTCCAAGGTTATGGTTGTCTTTTTGATATTGTTTTACATCCAACCCCCTTGTTTTATTAATTTTGTATTTACATTGTGTCATAGATCATATTTATTCGTTCAGTGTATGTTCACTTGTCTTTGTTAACATGTCTTTTGATTGAGTTAAGCCATTTCAATTGATATTTTATAACTGTGTCTGTAATAGTTATACACCGAGGGATAGGTGTGTCTGGATACTGGAGGGGTTTCTTATCCAGACACGCCGTATCCCGAGGTGTATAACTAACTTACACCCGATGCTAAACCCTATATTTGTTAACATTGATTATTAAATGAAAAAGAACGGATAGCATATTTATTGACAATATCAAACCATGATTTATAAGATTTTTTTTTACACGAAACCCCACCAGTAACCTTACTTCTGCTATCTTCGTTCAAACTTTGACAAGTGAGTAGATTTTACAAATGTCAAAGTTGCTGTTTTGCATATTCCCGTTAAATCCATGTGCTAATATGGATCAGCAGGTCAAGGTTGACCGTTTCGTGCATTCTTATTACAAAAAAATACATCATGCTCCTGGTATGCAGTTGTCAATATGGACGGGTATAAGACGGACGACATTTTGAGTCAAGCGTTGGATTTGGGAGAAGAAACTAAAGATAAAGGCAATATAATAACCCAAAGTACTTACCTGTATCAGTGTAATGAAGGTAATCTTAAATGTGTTTTATATGTTACGGTTTTATAAAAAAAGCCCCCCCCCCCCTTCTCAAGAATAAACAAACATTCATATTCGGACATACTGAGGAATATGTGTGTCTGGATTAGAAACCCGACGACCGGACACGCTCAACAAACAAAAATACAGATTGAATATTTAGGAACTCCCTTTTTGGGGGCAATCCGGGGGGGGGTCCGGGAGTTAGAATCCCCCTTTTTTATCAATGCTTTAGAATAGAGACATATGACTGGGATCAAACATTTACATTCAAGCAAAGGAGTATTTAAAGGATTTGTTTTTAATTCAAAATAGATGCTTACTATTTTTTTCGCTAATGGAATTCCTAAAATGTGTTTTTTAATATCTTGAAATAACTTGTTGTGAACACTATAAGTATAATTTCTTATGTTCATGCTATTAAAAAAATAATCAATTTCTATTGTTATAAATAACAATGGACTGTGTTTTCAGGATGTAGAAGCAGGGGTTTCCAGAAACCCCGCTCGTCACACTCTGTGGTCAAAATCCATTGTTATTCGTAACAATAGATCTATTCAATTTACACTTGTTTCAGAAATAGAAACTATGAAGTATAACAATAGAACTGGGGTGTAATTCTATGTTGTGATGTTACACTATTGATTCAGGTTAGGGTAAAGGTTGGCGCCTATTAAAACGTTCAAACCCGCTGCATTTGTTTGCACCTGTCCTAAGTCAGGAACCTGATGTCCAGTGGTTGTCGTTTGTTGATGTGGTTCATAAGTGTTTCTCGTTTCTCGTTTTTTATATAGATTAGACCGTGGGTTTTCCTGTTTGAATAGTTTTACACTAGTCACTTTTGGGGCCCTTTATAGCTTGCTGTTCGGTGTGAGCCAAGGCTCCGTGTTGAAGGCCGTACTTTGACCTATAATTGTTTACTTTTACAAATTGGGACTTGGATGGAGAGATGTCTCATTGGAACTCATATCACATCTTCTTATATCTATTGTATGTTATTTTAATTTGGTTCATTTATATGTTTCGGAGTTTAGTGCGACGTCCATTTTCTCTGAACTTTTGTTTAGGGGCCAGCTGAAGCCCGCCCCCGGGTGCGGAATTTTCTCGCTGTGTTTAAGACCCATTGGTGGCCTTGGGCTGTTTTCTGCTCTTTGGTCGGGTTGTTGTCTCTTTGACACATTCCCCGTTTCCATTCTCAATTTTACATTCCAAACAGGAACATACATCACTAATAATAGACAAACAAAACTGATGATGTAATTGTACATGAAATTATACATGGTTGGGATGTATTAAACTTAATTTTAGATGCTCTTTAAAAGGCACAGTCAACATGGTAATGAAAAAACAAGATTCGAGTTTTCATATATCCAGGATAACTTGAATAGAACAGATAAAGGTAACAAAAGAGGATCTAACAAAATTAATAAAATCCTGTTGTTTTCAACTCCTTGCATTTGTGATTCGTTTTTACATACATCAACTTTTCATGATTTCATCGGAAAACAAACTACAAAAACCAATGTATATTAATCACATTAATTTTAAAGAAGTGATAATTAATAACTTTATATACATTTAAAAGATTACATCCTGTTTCAGTTGAGTTCCTAGTTTACTAGGAAATCGAAGTAATCTCCTCATCATTTGACAAAAATATGTATGACAAAATGTGGAAAGTAACAGGATATGTGATTCAAGCAACCAATTAAAGCAAACAATGAAAACAACTTTAATACATTCGAGTTTTTCAATTACTCCAGAAATACTTTGTTTGCCAAAGGCAAAATTTTAGACTGAAAACAAGTTTAAAAATTTGAATTTAAACATCCCAAACAATTGGCAAGCGGTTTAATATGATATGTGAGCATCATGCATGAAAGTTTCTGGCACATTTCAATTACCTTTCATGGAACAAGAAGACCTCTTTCATTAGCGTCAATTGTCAATTCATTTCTACCAGAAATTCTATCATTAGAATATACTGTCTCTGTTAGAAAGCTCTCAAAAGCAGCCTGAGTATCAAGTTTCCTAATTTCTAATAAAAGAAATAATCCTGGTTTTCTTGATACATTTGTTTTTTATTGTAAGAAATGTGATCAGATGTGGGTATTTCTTTACTTGGACTGCATCCAAACAACAAAAATTTACAAAAAAAACAACTGGAGACTCACAGGAACATGAATCGCTCATCTGGTAAAAATGAACACCATCAAAATCATTTACCAAAGTTGCAGCCATCTTTCACACTCTAAGTAGGATTGTGACCAGGTTTGATTCATGTAGAAAATGTTGAAAAAAGTAATTAAAGACAATAACCACGGATAAAGAGTCAACAATTTCCATCTTTTTGTTGTCTTGTAGAACTTGTCTTGCTGTTCACAGTTTCTCTTTATTTATAATAATTTTCAAGATCATTGCAAAAAAAACTAAAATTGGTCAAAAATTGCCAACTTCTATTAGATTTGACCCTACAAATTTTCAATTAGGGACTACAACTTCTATAAGATTTGACCTTAAATTCAGTTAATCAACTACCGGTATTCGTAAGTTTGCTCTAGCTGATCATTTAATCTGTTCACAATTTCTGTCTTATTTATTTTAGTTCTCGAGATAACTACCAAAAAGGTAATTGAAGGACAATAGCTCCTACAAGTGGTTGATTGACAATTGGGGTTAAAGAATTAATCAATTATCAGTTATGTTGCATTGACTCTTTGTAGATCATACCTGTCTGATAATTTTATCAGGAAACAACTTCCTTCTATCTATTATAGTTTCAAAGAATAGTCAAAATCACAAAACAGTGTGCCAAAATTAGCAATTTAGGGCAAAATTTCAATAGGGTGTTGTTTTGCAATTTTAGATATGTTGATTTATTAGTAAATTTTATTTTGAAGATGATTTTTGATTTGCCTCAATGGTCTCAGGCTTGGGTGGTGGTGGAATCAATCTCCAGCTCGGTCAAACCAAAAACTCGAAAATTGGTA